CTAGTATTCTTAATGAATTGAATTCTCACTCTGAAGATCCAAAGATTCCCTAGAAACGGATCTAACGTCGATTTTCAATTGGCGGAATACAAATAGTTTAATAATGAGATAGAAAGGGGGAAAAAGATCACATCCACCGGAGGGAAACCAATCTGTAACGCATACTATCACTTCTGCAATCCTCTCTTGGCAACAGGCAATCTTCGAATTCAATCTGATTGTAAAATTTATAAAAAATAAAAAAAACATGCTTTCCAGGTTGTTCTTGACGTCCAATTTTCAATATAGTTATCAATTGTAGTTTCTTCACATGAAAAAAGAGATACTAAGATAACCCTCCTATTTGATAATGAATGTGATAATAATACAATCCAGCTTTTTATTAGGGAGCTTATGCAACAACGACGGCGAAGTTCAGTTACGAAAACGTCACTTCAGTAAGAAGTGAATTCGCGCTACTTCAAACTTTATCGTGCTTATTCCAACTCGTTCAATTCGTCAAATGTTGGCAAATTTTGCCGTTGAAGACTGTATCTCAGCTCAGGAAAAGAAAAAAAAAGTCGATGTCTTCATTCACGTCCGCGAAAAAAAGGTGAAATTAGGCACTTTCACGTGGTAGTCGTGCAGCGACAGCAAAGAAATGTACAAAAAAGCGTGATGTACTTGCAAAGTTGTTGGTTCGCCAATCTAATGTTGCTTTTTTGGCCGTTTTCGTGCCATCGCCGTCGCCATCGTCGTTGCTTAAGCTCCCTATTTTTTGACGGAAATACGCTATCCTACATCAGATCGAGGCACTCAACGACGGTTTCCTCCTTAGTGAATACATTGCAAATACTTTCTGAGCTGTCCAGAGTACTTTTAGACCGCTAGAAATGCATTAATTCTGACCGGCGCTTTAGAATTGGTATCTGTTCGGGAATATTCAGGCAACTAGAATCTTTTCGAAATTACAAGGGCTTCAATACCATTTTCTCGAAAACTTCAGATGCAATTTAAAGCTAATTCCTCTCTCCCCACATTTTCGAAATTCACAATTTTAGGTTTCCTTTGTCTACGAAATATAGCTTATCCTACGGAAGGAAATGTGAAAAATTAAACTGCAGAAAATCGTAGCTTAAATTTATAAGATAAGCTTCGAAAATCGCATATGAATGGAACGGCCAGCTAGAAATGCTTTGGTGCCTTCGAGCAACAGAAAATTAAAAAATACAAATATTTTACAGAAAACGGTCGTTGGGTACCCATGCTACATTCACAACATCTGAATAGATATTAACTAATAGATCAGTTACAAGATAGCTCAAGTTAAAATCTGTCATGAAAGTTTCGTGATCGATTTTTTTATATCGCTGTTCTTATAGATCATTTAATTTAAACTTTCATTGTGTAAGTTCGGCTTATTGCACGTCACACTACATAAATGCGAGTTGGTAAAGTGGATTGGTGTTTTTAGATTTGTGAACACATTAAGAAAAGATCTTTCGCCCATTTCTTAGATTTTAGTATAACTTGTTTTGTGTTTTTCAGTAAATACTTGTTAGTGTGGATTCTTAAAAGGATTTTAACCTTGGACTTATCAGTTGTTAAAACGCGCTTTCTGAGAAGAGCATTTTCCTCATAGCAACACATCTTGAGGGTGAAATTGAAAGCAAAACACAGGTTCTCATCGTAGCGGATTTAGCGTTGATCTTCAATTGGCGGAATACAACGGATTTTAAAGTGAGATGGAAAGGAAGAAAAGAATCACAGCCACCGAAAAAAAAACAATCTTAATACATACTCTCATAATTTCTTCTGCAATTTTCTCTTTGCAACAGGCAACTTGTATTTCATTTGATGGTAAATTTTATAACAAAAAAATGCTTTCTAGGGCGCATTTGACTTCTGATTTTTAATTTAATATAGGTGTAAATTTCAGTTAACAACTGCTCTGTTCATGAGAAAACGAGATGCTAAGATAACCTACCAATTTGAAAATGAATGCGATAATAAGATAATGGTGTTAAACATCCAGCATTTAGATCGCCGGGACTTACGCTAAATATCTATCCTACATTCATAACATCTCCATATATATTAACTTATAGTTTAATGTGACATTTTCAAGGTAGCACACTTTAAAATCTGCCTAGAATGTTTCGTGCAATTTCATTTAATCTCTCTGTCTCTCTGTTCTTAAAGATAATTCAATTTAAATTTGGATTGTATAAGTGTGGCTTAGTGCAAATCATAATACATAATCATGTATGATGATTTAAGTCATACCGGTGTTTAAAACTAAGGATGAGACAGACAGACATAGAGTTTAGATTTCGTTTAACCGGTATGTCAGTGTAAGCGCGGCAATGCGCGTTTCGTGCAATGCGCGTTTCGGTTGTGTAGTTCTTTCGGTACTGAGCAAGGGTCTATTTCCCTTATTTCGTTAGGTGAAAATTAAAAATCAGAAATCAAATGCCCCCTAGAAAGCATGTTTTTGGTTATAAAATTTACCATCAAATGAATTACAAACTGCCTGTTGCAAAGAGAGAATTGCAGAAGATCGAGTACGTAAGTGGCGTATCCAGGGGAAGGGCCCCGGGGGCCGGGCTCCTCCTTATTTTTAGGCCAAACTGAGGTCCGAAGGGCTGAAAAAAATTTTGTTTTGAAACCGTCTCCCTACCCCCGCCCCCCCACCTTATCTCCGGGTCTGCATGACCGCACCCTAAAGGTCCGGATCCGCCACTGTATGTAAAAAGATTGGGTTTCCTTCGGTTGGTGTGATTCTTTTCTTCCTTTGTATCTCACTATAAAATTCGTTGTATTCCGTCCATTGAAGATCAGCGCTAAATCAGCTCTCATGAGAATCTGTGGAACATCAGAGACAACGACCCTTAGAGCTAAAAAATATCGCATGTCTTTTGCTTGTCGTCGCCCCTTTGAAGTGTTTTGCTTTCAATTTTACCCTCAAGATGTGTTGCTATGAGGAAAATACTCTTCTCAGAAAGCGCGTTTCAGTAACCGATAAGTCCAAGGTTAAAACCCTTTTATAAATCCTCACTGAAAAACATTTCACAAGTTATACTAATATCTAAGAAATAGGCGAAAGGATCTTTTTTTATGTGTTCACAAATCTAAAAACACCAATCCACTTTATCAGCTCGCATTTATAAAATTATAATGATGCATGCATGTGTATTGTGACGTGTACTAAGCTTATACAATGAAAGTTTAAATTAAATGATCAATAAGAACAGCGATATGACATAATATTACACGAAATTTTCATGACAGATTTTTACGCTACCATGTCTGCCTCTTTAAGTCAATGTAGCATGAATGAATGTAGCATAGGTAACCCAACGAACGTGTTCTGTAAAATATTTGTTCGAAGAAGCAAATATTGCCTTGTACTTTTGAATTTTCAGTAGCTTGAGGGCACCAAAACATTTCTAGCTGACTGTTCCATTCATGTGAGATTTTCGAAGCTTATGTAGTAAATTTAAGCTACAATTTTCTGCAGTTTAATTTTTCACATTTCGTTCCCCAGAATAAGCTACATTTCGTACAAAAAGGAAACCTACAATTTTTTAGTTTAGGAAATGTGGGGAGAACATGTTTGGGGAGAACATATCCGTTTGTCCCAAACGGTAGACGTGAATTTGTACCAACTTTCCGCCTTATTTTCCGTTTACTTTCTTGCTTCTGCACAAAAATATGCCAGTTTTAACCACAGGAATCGTTCGGGACTAGTTTTCTATTCTGAGAAATTCTCAACTTGAGTCTGACGTTTGCCGTTTGCAGTAAACGTGAATCTTAATCTCTCTATTGTTACAAAACTCCTTCTTCCATAACTTATCAAGACAAAATTTTTGTATTTTTTGAAACACGAAGAGCATATTGCTGTATCAAGGTTTGAATTCTTACGCTAAGCACGAGAAACTGTGGTTTTGATAACACACAACGTGCGGTGAGTGTTTCAAGTCAAATATTCTTGACTACTCTTGACCCTTATACTGACTGTTCGCGGATCAAAACATTTCCAGTCTCTTATAAATTTCACGTTTATAAATAGCTGTATCTTGTTCAATGTATGGCCCGATCGACACCAAACTTTAGATTTGTCACAACCTCAATATGCTCTTTCTGACTATGTGGGTCTCATATTGTTTATCCCATATTAGAAAAATCCAACTAGTGGTATATTGTCATTGCTGCGTTCTGATTGGTTGAGCTACTACTAAGTTTTTAGTGGCGATTTTTGAATCGCTTTATTTGCGGGTGCAGGAAACAAAAAAGTAGTTGACAATTTCAATTTTCGCACCAAGGATTTTTCAACAGACCGCTTTACAGTTAAAGAAGATTCCGGGCGAGGGATCACTACTATAAGTGAAGCAAGAATACTACAAAACGCAACTACATTCGAACCGCTCTTTACGACGGACATTTTCTATGGCCCCTCAGGGTCCCTATTAACGGGGTGTTTGGGATGACCGGCTTAACGGAAACCCCTTACCTGAATCCAAACAGTGGCATTTTTAAGACCCTGTGCAATTTCGAACTGTCGTTCTTGCTGAACAATGAGGCATAAAAGAAAACACTCTTTCAGTAATTGTAGAGCAAGTTTGCTCTTCATGGAAAGCTAATTACAATGCGTGGGGATTATGTACAAATTTTTCTACATTTAATCAGTAATCGATCACAGGTGACGTCAAAATGTGGTAAAAACATCAGTGACACTTCTTTGTTTTTACCACATTTTGACGTCATACTGAACAGACGCACAACATGGAATCTATTTGTAAAGCAGGGGTAAGTCTCTTACGAGTTACGATTAATTGTTTGGTGTTCGAGGGCAGCGCCTGATGCCATATATTAGCTCTAGGTACTTACACTATCCTGTTAAAGCAGAAACCACTTTGATGAAGCTTCCAGATCCAGGAAGACAAGCTTAAAAAAGTAAAATTTGGCAATTGCATTGCGGCGGCACGAAACTACGGAAAATTGTACGCGTCTCTCTCTCATGACGTCACGATGGCCAAGCGAAGTTCATGCCGATTTTATCCCCCCGCCTCCCCGGGACGTTCGGGGGGACGAGGGAGGGGGGGTATATTTGAAAGGGGTTACCTTTAATGTTAGTGTAAAATGTCTTTACGATGACACAAACTTACTTCCTACAAAATATACTGTTTTAAAGCCGAAAATGGCTCAAAAACAGAATTTATTTGACCTTCAAATTAAATTATATTACAAAGACCTTAATTACTACCCATCTATCTATTTCCCTACAATTTCTAAAACAAAAATAAAATAAATAAGCTAGGCCCGGTTTTTAGGATCGTTACACTTCTAACAACCCATTCTATTTAATCTATTAAAAATTGTTTCCCTTCTGATGGATAAGTAATTCAGAGAAAACGAAAAGACAAGCAAACAAACAAACGTACAAAACAAAACAACAACCACAAAATACCATGAAAGAGGTTTTTATGTCGAATACCGCAGGCCAACTTTTGACTTGAATTTCTTTTAAGGGGCTATGTCTCGCTAGGGCCCCATCCAAACCAGCCTCGCTGATCGGAACTAGGCATCCCTGACTATTCTTTAAAACAAATAAAAAATGGTAGTCTTTACACTAGAGCCTAAATAAGCTAAGAAATATTTTAAGACAAGTAAATTTTAAATTCTTCAAGTAAAAGGAAGCTTCACACACAACCCATCTTTTTTTTACTTCAGGCTATTTTCCCACGCAGCATAATTAAGATTAAATGATATGCTTCTCCTTTCTCAGAGCTCAAGAAACTGCAAGTTCGCAAAGTGGTTTTCGGCTCACTTGAAACCGTTTTTGAATCGTTTCAACTTTAAGGTGGCTAAACACAGTTTTGGCAGTTTGTGATTATATGTCATTTGCCAAATCATGGCGAGAGAAAGGTTGCTGCTTACAAGCTGAAAATTGGCAAGTGAAAAATGTACTGATGAAAGATTTTGATTGACAGGTAAAAACTGACGATTTCCTGGTTTCCATGGCAACATGAACGACTGAATACAACCTTAAAATTTCACTTTTTCTCAGTTTACATAAAATTCGCTCATTAGATTTTCCTTTAAACTTGCACACAGCTTACTATAATTAATCATTGGCATTTGAAACTTATTTGACCAAATTTTAACAGACGGGTTTTCAGATAATCAATAATTTAATTGAACTGTAATTATTAAATGTTACACAAAATTCGTCTGTTTAACTTCCTTTTTAAAGTTCTCATTACTTAAAATACGATAAAAGGAAAAATTCTGCAAAATATAAAAAAAAATTGTAATGAGTAGATTTTGAGAAATCGTCTTCCGTGCACCATTGCTTTTTCTCCGCCATGTTTGTTTGTTTAATTTCTGTTTAATTTAACACACGCGCCGTCACGCAAGTTACCGCTGACCGCCCGCGAAACTGTGTCCGGCCACCTTAATGAGACGCAAAGTAAAATAACTTGAGATTTTACTTAGGCCTTCACTCACGTATCTTTGGTGAAGTAAAACTTAGCAGCTCTTAAGTCTCACTTAACGGCCTAGTGTAAAGAAAACCAATAAATACAACTGAAAAGATTAAATGTGTCATCAATTGAATTGCAAATATAATAGTCCGGTTATCTCATTAAAGGCTATATTCGGGCATTGAAGCTGCTTCCTGTTGTCTGTTCCTACGAACGACAAGGATGGACATGGATTGAAACTTGAAAAAGGTAAGCTATCCTTTTCTAGTTAATGCCTTGCCAGCAAAAATCACCAAAAAAAAAATGTTAGTGCTCGCTGGTGAAATCGTTTGGGTTCGATGTCTTCTTTATAACTTTACAGGAGCTTTATGCTTTGGGCAAGGGCCCTAAGTAATGACTTCAGTCCAGAATTGATCTCTCGTGACATGGCCCCTTTAAACCACTTCAGAGGCTAAACCACAAATGAGGCACAGGGTAATGAACGATTACACGAAGACACCGGAAATTCAGGTAGGAAAATCAGACGGCTCTCGTTATTCTGTTTAGGACGCTTCAGAGAATATGGGCTGTAGCTTTAGGCAGTGCAATAGACTGCAAAACAGTCGGGGGTTTTTTTTTTCTCAAAATCGGTTTAGCGTAGCGTAAGAGATTGATTAGTGGGATGCTGGTAGTGTTGATTAAATAACGATCAATACATCGATCAAAAAGGTATGTTTTGTTTACGTGCGTCGCAGATCTGGTCTGATCTGATCTCTGGTGGCAGAATCTAAAATGCCCCCTCCTCCTTCCCTTTCTTTTGCCCTCTTTCCAACTTTCGCGCAATAACTCGATTGGAAACGCTTGCTACGCAGGCTACATTAGTCTCGTCACGCAGTGAATCTTTTCGAAGAAAAGGTGTTCGCTTGAGGAGAAGCGTTGCGTGACTAGAAAAATAACGGCAGCGCTTAAGGCTGGAAAAAAAGTAAAACTTTCAGTTTCATTTAAAAGGTGTGAATTTTTAACGACTACCCAGTCTGTTCACTGGCAAAAATGATTGAATGTAGCGTTATCACAACAAATTGTTTTACTACATTTTAGTGTTCACGTACAAACAATTTCAAAACCGCTAGCTAGGATAGGAGTCGAAACCTCATCTATTTTGCATCAGCTGAAAACAAAGAGCGTGATCTCTGGTGTCACCCCACCCCCCATTAGGACCGAACTTTGAGGTCCGACCAGTATTCCCCGGTTGGACATTTACGGTGGAAGGATAAAAGTTTTCTGTGTTCCGGTCGATGATTGACTGGTATTTCTGCACCGTAGCCTCAATGTTGCAATCTGTTTTCTTGTGATGCAAACCACTGTAGAGACAAAGAATTGAACAACTTCAGTTGTTACAGAAGTATTAATGTAAGGGGCGGCTCTTGCAATTCACTGTGGCTCTACTGAATTTTCGGGGGGGCAACACCCCCCACGTTTGAGCACTGCTGACTACGGCGCCGGTGACAAAGATTTTGAGACAAAAGACCTTATTCACGATACCTGCCATCTTTGCACGCGCTTTAGGATTGATGGGATAAAAGCAATGTCACGTGGCATTCAGGGGGAATGCGAGAAATCGCGGTCGACTTTGTATATTCTCTCAAAACGAATTTGAGTTTCGACAAAATTAACGTTATTATTGCGTTCTGTGAGGACATCTACGGTCACTACTGCATTAAAAAAGTAACAATGATCACCTCCACCCATAATTTGCCATTATCAACTTTAATACAAAAAGTTGTTCATTTTGTGTTGGCAAGAATAAACAAACTCAACTGCGATTTCTTGTATTGGGAACATTTGTCACTTGTTTGCCCCTTGAGAAACCACGTGACATCGCTTTTATCCCATCACTCCTTAAACGCGTGCAAAGATGGCGGGCATTGTGAATAAGGTCTATTGGTCACCACCGCGAGGAAAAGTGAACTCGCACAAGTGAGGCCGCGCGCAGGCTAGATCTCCCCAGGGGCGTGTCAGGCATTTGAAGAGGAAGAAAAAGGATGAAGAAAGGCGCACGGGAACGTAAAGAACGCCCGACAATAAAAAGGAAATAAGAAAGTCAAAAAGTAGGGTCCTTGCAGGTGCTGCCTTCCTCCCTCTTGCGCACGCCGTAACAGTCATCCTTTCCCTTAGCCTTCATTGATGCCTGCCACGCGGACTAACAGAACACGCTTGCCAGACACGTTTGCACTAAGGACCATACTTTGCCCATTTTCAAACAATGATTTTCTACGACTGATTGGCCATCTCTTGGAGGAGAAAAGAAAAATTGCATTTTTAAAACTTACCATTCTCCAAGATGAAATACTCTGGGTGCCTTGAGAACAAGTGACTTTAAAGGCCGTGGCAAGCACGAAATACTAATCTTCATAAGAGACCAGTCCCAGTTGTACTCGTCATAACTCTTGCAAAAAACCTGAAACAATTAAGAAAAATTTTACCTGTCCCCTGGTTAGCTCAGGTGGGAGAGCGCCGTTCTGCCGAACGGAAGGTCACAGGTTCAAACCCGGGCCGGACCAACACTGAGGATTTTTAAATAACTGAGAAGAAAGTGCTGCCTTTGTAATGACATCTGCTAATGCCGGTTAGACTTTCTAGTCTTCTCGGATAGGGACGGAAAAACCGTAGGTCCTGTCTCAAAAAAAAGATTCACTGATCTGTTCTTGTGGGATGTAAAAGAACACACAACACTGTTCGAAAAGAGTAGGGGACGTAGACCCCGGTGGTGTGACCAACCTTTACGGGTTGTGGGATTGTGTAGGGATGGCACCTCGCATGGGACCTATGAGTCCCCTTCGTGACCATTCCTTCTAGGCGGCCCTGTGCCTGAAAAGCTGGTACATAAAGTAAGCATATAAATTTGTGTCAAAAATAAACTTATCACCTTGAAATTCCTCTAATCAGGGATTTCAAACTTTACTAGAATCAAATACATGTCATTTCAGGGAAGTTTTGCAGCGTAGTTCCTGCTGCTCAGATGTAGGCGCTTCGGAACGTCTGCTTTTGAAACGGCTGTTATAATGGTCACTTTTTCTTCATTTCATTATGACTGATGCTCCTTCCTTTCTTCTTACTTGGAATTTTACATGTTGTACAATCGTTCTCGCCTTGCCCTTGTACGGCGTCTTCCCAGGCCTTCTCGGTCAATGCATTTCCGTCACGTATCCAAGACGAACGTTCCTCAGATCACGTGACCCGAAACGCATCGGCCGCGCGCAATAATGAGGCCAAGGGACTAAGCAACAATCATTCCACTTGCCGGATTTCCAAATAAGCAATAAATCTACAAGATGGCCTGTTCATGGTCGTGAAAGTATTGCTGCATGTATGATTGTTTAATTGAAATGATGACAACAAATTAGATATTTTGTCTACAGGGTTAAAAAAAAAAAGAAAGAAAGAAATTTAAATACAAATAATAATAATAATAATAGATGAAATCATTAACTTTCTGTTTTTGTTGTTAATTTTTTTACTAACCTACAAGAGAGTTACTTAAGAGCATTACCAGTCTGCGTACCTCACTGCATTTCTTGAGTTTCTCCCAAGTGGTCCTGTCAAATGCTAGTCCCATGTTATGTTCATGTGAATGCCAATTAGAAAGAAGTGCCTAAAACAAACATCATCTACATGTAAAACTATTTTCAATATTTTCTTTACCCATATTTAACTTAACCCAAGAACTGTTATACCCTTTGGCATACATGTTAGAGGTCAAAATTATATTCAGGTTGATATTTTGTAACCCAGGTTGATTCTCAATTTCTTGTCTCCAATCCCTAATTCATGAATAATTAGGGCTAGGAGACAAAGGAAATTGAGAATCAAGCTACAATCGGCGACAAAATGAGTTGAGACACTTCGCCCAAAAGTAGGCTTTTTTACGTTTTATGAACTTCAAAAGGAGGAAATATAGCTTTCCTCCCCCATCCCCCCCGTACAATGTTGGGCCCTTGTTCTAGCTACCTATAGAAAACAACAAACACCCCAACTTTGAATGGAGGGGACAGGGGAGGGGTGCGGATTCTTTTGTTCTCCGAAGTCACCCTATTTAAGTACAATGTCTCAACAATTTTGTCGCCGATTGTCTGAATCTCAAAAGTGGCCGTACGTCCTTTAGAAAGTTAATTGAATTCATTTTTTTATGCTGGGATGTAAGACCCCTGGTGGCTTTTTATTTGTTATGTTTGACTTCATCATACGTATTTTAGAACAATTAGAATAAGGCGATTTCGTTATTTTCAGCGCGTGACATTTCGTATCACGCTTAACCGTGCCTTGACATCGTGCGATGTGGCGCGTCGGGCACGATTTCTTATTCTCTCCTTTATCGAAACGCATCGAAACAAAGAACAAAGTGAAAAGGATAGAAAACTTAATAGATTTCTAGGTATTAAAGTAGTTATAATGGCTAAAATTGCTCTTTAGAATGAATTTCCACGAGTAACCACGATCATAGTAAAAAACAAAATAATCTAATTATCTTTTAAGAACAAAGTTGGTTACTCGTGGTTACTCGTGGCCAGTCTCCTCCTGACCTCATAGTTTCTACTGTAAAGTACATTCTTCAAAGACCCTCATGGGTATATGGGCAACGAATTTGCTGCACAGATTTAGCGAAGCTATGCAGCTTTGCTGTGCATTAGAAGTTGGAACATTTTTCCTGAAAATTCTCCTGCGCATAGTAATCATGGCTATTTTAACGTCCATCCCACCCTTATCAAATAGCCAAACTTCGAATAAACACTTCAAACTTACTAGGGATATAATTATTCAAATACAATATATTATCTGCCATCGATTCCTACCGATCACACTTAGTTACCAGAGGAAAATCAATCATTCGGTACGTGGGTATGCTGCGTAATTACTTGAAATCACTACCGAGTACAAAGATTGTCAAAACTAATTTTCCCTCGAAAAACACAGGAAAGGGATTATATGCGTATCTTATCTATCTTCTGAAAAACGACCCGGTGAATATAGTAATCTCAACTTGTTACCGTCTCCTAACCGGTGCTAATAGGACAACAGCGCTTAGATTTCGATTCAGACAATCGGTGACAAAATGAGTTGAGACACTTCGCCCAAAAGTAGGCTTTTTTACGCTTTATGAACTTCAAAAGGAGGAAATATAGCTTTCCTCCCCCATCCCCCCCGTACAATGTTGGGCCCTTGTTCTAGCTACCTATAGAAAACAACAAACACCCCAACTTTGAATGGAGGGGACAGGGGAGGGGTGCGGATTCTTTTGTTCTCCGAAGTCACCCTATTTAAGTACAATGTCTCAACAATTTTGTCGCCGATTGTAGGTTAAGACCTTACGGCTCGTGAAATTTCGTATAACAATTTTGAAATATCATTCGTGGTATTTATGCCAAATATCACTACAAATCATGCTATTACCTATACAAATTTAATTTTGACCTGTAATATACATACATGTAGAGCACCTTAAATGATTGCTGATGATTATGATGATGATAATCATTCACAACAACCCTTAAGGTGATTACCAAAAGTCAAAACTGGCTACAAATGGCTTGAAAATCAGTTAAAAAAAGAAAAGAAAAACGTTTCGTATTGAGTGAAAGTGAAAAAAGGTCATTTCAGGAACATAATGCTTATCTGGCTGCACAGGTCTGATTAATAGCAGCATACTGCATTTAGTGAAAATTAACCATCTTTCTTCGTTATTTATCGGAACTTTTTTTAGGAATGGGCTGATCTAACAAGTCATGTTTGACTAATGCTAAGAGCTCTTAAATTTAAGTGTTATTTCTCTTCACTTTAAAGTCTCGATTATACACTGTATCTCTGCTGGTCAAAATTTATTGATGCATTAAAGTCATCACCAACATATGAGCTTGGGCGTTGGTGCCTACAAAGTTGGTGGAGCCGGGCAATGACCTAGCATGAGGAGGAGGTATCCATGGCAACCCTACAAGTGGGTCCACCAGGTACCATCACACTTAACAGTTCAGTGGAATACTTACCAACCAATACTCACCTGGCCCTGAACTAATGAGGGAGGGAGGGTTGGGAAAAAACACAGCCAAGCAACAAAGCTATTGCGACAACACTGCGAAGAACTGCAAGCAAGCAACTGCATATACAAGTTGCAAGGTGTCCCTGCTAGACCATCAGGCCACCCCTAGCATGGCTAAGAAAACTGCTGACCAGCATTGTTTTGGGGTTAACTTTGCCTAAATTACATTTAGCCACATTTAACCATAAAGCATTGATTTAAATAAACGATAAATCTATTAATACATTTACACCATCTTAATTTCCAGCAAAGTATTTCCACTTACCACATTCTCGGCCCCTCCATAATTGTCTACAGATTTGTAAGTTCCCAGAGTAATGAAATCACAATCATCTTTACACCCACTGTGAAATTTGAGATGTGATGAGTCATTTAACTGTGGAGGTCCCAACAGTGACCAACATCAATTTTCACCCAACAACAAACAATTTATACATCGTCACAAGAAAAAGTGGTGAGAATTAATAAAACCATCACCAAAATTAATGGAATTAATGGAACTTACTGTAAACTAATAATAATAATAATAACTTTCCAGAAGGTAGAATTGTTAACTGGGGGGCATTCACTGTAATTTGTGCTACTTACTTCATTTTGTTGCCATACAGCAAGTTTAACATATGGTAGAAGTCTGGACTAACATAATAGTCTTCTTCAAGGAACAATACTGGTCCCACATATGACTTTGTTACATTTAACTGGTCAAATACTTTGTTAACCTGTAAAAGGAAACAACCTTAATCAGTGGTAAATATCAGTGAAACAGCAGCAACATAATTTTGGTCAAGAACTTGCTGATCCATGTGCTCAGTAGACCATGTGCCGCATGAAAAAATTAAGCCTTTGCTGAAAACTGGAAATCAGAGTGAAAATATTTGGTCAGACACCCTCTCATTTGAGGTCCTCTTTGGCAATGTTCCACACTGTATACAGTGTATTCTAATGTAGTAATTTTATGATGTACAGCCACCCCCCCCTCAACAAAAATGTATGCGCAAGAAATAGGCATGCCACTCTGACATGTTGTATTTTTCTGGTTTACAATAGCTGCAAGGACATTAACTTGAAACACAAGTTAAAAATTGAAGAGCAAAAAGCTACAAAAATTATTATCACAAGCTTCGAGAAGGTGAAGAGGAAATGTTAGGTGTTCACCAGTAAGAAGTTTGTCGTTTCCCTATTCATCTGCATCATTTCAGTTTAGTACACTGTTTACAGCTAGCCATTACAATGCCTGAAGGAGGATCATGAGGTTAGCACTACAGCTGTACAATAAAATCTCTCCTTACAGATAACACAACCAGCTCAGAAAAGGTTGGCCACACCACTGGGGTACGACTATTTTCAACAGTAGTGTGAGTTCTTTTACATCCAGCAAGAACCAGATTTTAGTTAAGATACGGTGAGATGGGACCTACAGCTTTTCGTCCTTATCAGAGAAGACTACAAGCCTAACCATTTGCAGATTTCATTACAAAGGCAGCATTTTCTTCTTAGTTATACTTATATGAAGACCCAAAGTGTTGGTCTTGCTGGGGTTTGACCCTGCAACCTCCCATTCAACAAACTGGCACTCTCCCAATAATTGAACTAACAAGGTGGTGGTCACCCTTGTAGAAATTAAGTATACTTTAAGTATACTTCAAGTATACTTTATATGTACTTCTCAGAAAAAAAGTACATTTGAAGTATACCTCGTTTGTACTTCCAGAAAAAAAGTATAAATGAAGTATATTTGGCAAATGTACTTCATTTATACTTCAAAAACTTAAGTATACTTTAAGTATACTTTTTCAAACTTCAGTGCTTGTGAAAAATAGTTTCGCAAAGAAAAGTGTACTTTAAGTATACTTTGAAACTGAAAGAAACATTCTGATCTGAGGATCTAAGAAGGTTTGTCCGGACTTGAAATCACTACAAGACAAAAGTATACTAAAAGTATGCTTTAAGTATATATAATTTAACTTAAAAATACTGTTCAGATCAAATCAGTTTTCTTCTATTAAGGACACAGTTGAGATCATGTAAAGATTTCTTCAGAGTGGTGAAGTATATAACAGGTTTCTAGAAACACAGGGTACACATTAGCTGTTCAGTCGACTTCCTTCGTAAGAAGATCATCCGCCGATCCCTGGGCGAAATGGCAAAGTCGCACAGTTTCGGGCATTTCTTTAACGTCTTTCGTAGAATTTTTGCACTTGGCAGTAAAAGATACTGGATGTAATTAAGGCCGGGGTCGTTTAACCTCCTTTTTTTACGAGGACCTTAAGAAATAGAACGAGAACTCGAAGCAAAACCATCGCTCATCGTCGGACATCTTTACGTTCGAGGAAAGAGATGCATATATGAACGTGTTGAATTACCGCTGACTTCCAGTACCGTCGGAACATATACGGGATCTTGTGGATTTCCTAATACGGTCATGTATGAATCATTTATAGCATACCTAACTTCCATATATGGTTTTGGCGGGCGATACAGATTCGAAGGAACGTTCGTTGAGCTTTGCCGAGAGTGTCTTCAAGATATTTATACGCTTGGAATATTGCCTTTAATTTATCTTCACAATTCGAGTACAATATGAGTGGAACTTGAAAAGAAAACAAAAGAAGTACACCATGACTGAATTTTGACGATACAAGTAAGTTTTGGGGTAGAAAATGTATCGGTTCCAGTCGTTTCAAGATATATCGATTCTTCTTTGCGAGCCATTTGCAAATGACACACGAGTTAAGCCTTAAGGTTTACAAAGTGAAAGCTTGTTTACTTTGCCTAAAGTGCAGTGTAAATTCAAAATATAAAACCCAAGTCTTGTTTTCCTTAGATCGCATTTCGTTCCAGTTTTTGTACGTAATAGGTAATAGGACATATTTCTGAACATATTTCTTTAATAACGTAATGGCACAATTTACTTTGTAGCCAAAGAGTACAGATCTAATCATTCTTGTCTGTTAAACATTTACTAAAATTAAGAAGAATATTGTGTGATGGTTCTAAGCAATAATTATTAAGTACAAGTGAGTTAAAGAACGTTCAGAAAGAAACCTGTTAATATACATGCACCTTCCTTGAAATGATCTCATTGTCAATGAAAATTTTACTAAAATCAAGAAGAATAATATATTATGGTAATCAAATGCAGTGAGTTCCTTTGATAGGAGTAGAAAATGTATATTTTTATGTTGTGGAAACCTATTTCAACAAGATTTGCTATATATTTTTTTTACAATTTCTTAGTACATTTGTATTGCTTTAAGTTAGGGGTAGTTTTTTTTTGTTATATCAATAAATGATTTTACAAAATAATTGATCCAAGTCTGACGTGTCTTAGTGATTGATTAACATATTGCATTGAGTATACTTTAAGTATATTTTAAGTATACTTGAAGTATACTTCCCATTAAGTATACTTCAAGTATACTTTCATTAAGTATACTTTAAGTATACTTTTTAGGTGTCGAAAAGTTGTGTGCTTAAAGTATACTTCTGGTAAGTATACTTAAAGTATACTTTAAGTACAAATGAAGTATACTTTTTAAAGTGTTTATCACCTATATAAAGTATACTTTAAATGTACTGAATTTCTACAAGGGCAATGTTATAATAATTATTAAAGTACATGTATGATAACCTTAAGCTAATAAATAGAATATTTGGGCCTTAATACTAAATACTGGGGGCTAAAGGATTTATGGCTTACTTTCCACCACCAATGATGTTTTGTCATGGTATACTTTGCTTCTCTGTAATGACCAAACATGTCTGGTGTCTCGGCATTATTACAACCAATTTCTTTTGCTCTAAACAAAGACAGAATGAGCAACAACAATGAGAAAAAAAGCATATTTTTCAGTATAAACCATTTTTTTAGTTCAGAGGACATGAATTCATTACCCTGCTCAAGGAGGTTTGTCAAGAAAACTAGACAGTGATGTCACAACTCAAGCACAAACTTCTCTATTTTCAAGCTCTTTTCAATTCAGCACAAATATGCACTAAAATTTTCATCACAGCATGTCTTTAGAACAGCTAATACAATTCAACAATAAATTGTAAACTGATCAAGAGACTGTGCTACCTAAGAGTTGTAAAGATACTTACTTGTCTTTTGTTATATCCCTTGGACAGTCATTAGGATCAGTGCCAGGAAATTGTTTTGGGTAAAGCTGATACGAGAAAGGGAAAAAAATCTGGAGTACCTGAAGAGTGAAAGAAAAATTAATTAAATAGATGAGGAAAACAATAATTACTCAACTTGTTAAAGACTAAACAGAAATTAAAAGAAGAAGAATATTAATATTTTATGTGGAAAATTTCATTTGTCCTCATTACAAAGGGGAGCTTAACCCTCATAAGCCACATTGCCACCTCTTGTTTCCCTGCCAAATGATGTCTACAGAACAATCGCAGAGCTTCCATACAATAACTGATGATGCATCACTACCCAGATCTGGGTAGTGCTTCTGATTTGATGAGGCAAATTTTCAACCAATCAGATGGTTTACCCAGATCTGAGTAGTAACATGTCATCAGTATGACATTACTACACACTGCACACTGTATAGTCATTTCTCAAACAACATTTCAAAGGGAATCCAGTGGACTGGTGGCCTCCTTAAATGCTGGTTTTATTCTCAGGCTATTTAGGTCAAGGGAAGTGTATCTGGAACAGTGGAGAGAATGTGATTCAAAGTTATTACATTGCTGATTTTACAAAGGATTTTTTTCTCATTTATTTCCTCTTTCTTTGTTGATGACCAGTTTGAACCTAGGACTCATGACTTATTAAGAATATTCAATGTGATTACCTGGATGCATGCATGAGTGTACTAGCTGCTGTATACGAATGTTTGTGTCATTGTGACTTTATTCAGGACATCATTGAGGGTGCCAATAGGGTCAACTGCTTAGCATAAAAAAGCCTTTTTTCACTATCGTAAGCGTATAAATTACAAAATAGTAGCTGACAAGCGTATAAAAACAGGTTATTTTTTAAGCGTATATGGAGCCAAGGAGACCCAAAATGTTAGAACTTGATACAAAAAGATGAAGACTTTCTAAAATAAAAAGACGACATGGTGAGATAGATTGATGGAAATGTATTTTGTCAATATTCCCTACACTTTAATCTGTTAGTTGACATATATGCGACTTACTCTTTGCTGCGACATTCCGTACTTGTTCGAGCCTGCATTCAAACTGCCTGTGGTTGTGTCTTAATTCAAATTAGATGTTAACGAGGCTGGAGTTGACTCCCTTGTTTTGATACAACTATTTCTGTTTTTTTGTGTAAATCACATTGTTATTATGCTAACTAGTATTTTTCAAGCACAATTTCTATTAAGAAAACAACAAACAAAGGAGGTTTTGTATCTAAACAAGGTCAACCTCAGCCTTACATTCACTCACATTCACAAGGGTATTAAGCCCACAACTGTAAAATGGTTTATTTCCTCAGTGTCATTGCTCTTTGCTTGCGTGATCGTGCAAAGATGGTGTGACTGTCTGTAATCCAGCATAATGGGACTGAATGAAGTCTAATTAATGTTGAAATCTGGGCTACCGGTAGCCAATTGGATTAGAGAATTCTGTTATAGTTATGATAAATGGCACAATGACTGTGTACAGAAATTCAGCTTGGGCGCTTTTGTGCAAGAATTTTATTTACTGAAAGAGGTTGAAGAGGACTGAGCTGTCTTCCAGGTTCAACCATGGAAGACAAATCAGGGCGTCGGTTAGGGTGAATTTGTAAGAAATAATTATCTTCAGACTGATTAGACAAAGTGTTAAAGAATATTGCAAACCAGTACTGGAAAAGTGGGAGAGCACTTGGTAGTCTTAAGGAAGTGATTGACTTGGAAACACCACCCTATAAACGATTTTGACGTCAGTGGGACTTACAACCATGTCAACTAACTGACTAAACGTCTTTTTGCTGCTGACGGACTAACTAGTGCTTTTTTTTTAGCTGTTTACTGACTAAGTAGCATATTTTTAGCTGTTTACTGACTACAGCTATACCCAATTGACACCCTCATCACTCGCCCGGACGATCTTTTCTTAAATGTGTGCGCTTTTATCACAAAACTACGGGATCTACTTTTATAACCTAGGTTCAAATTTCATTTTCCATTTCTTCTGTGTATGGTAATGTACTGTATGAATTCAAAACATTTACACCAAGGGTACCTGTAGCCTACATGTAGAGTTAATTCACAAAGTCTACACCCCGTGGAACTTCAATATTATAATGAACCTCTACAAAACAAAGTCCTCGGTATAACAAACAATTTTCTTTAACCCAGTAATAGTAAAATAAAATGAAAAAGAACCTCAATATACCTAACTAAAACTCGTTATAGCAAACAAATTGTGCCAGTCCCTTGGCCTTCCATTATATCTAGGTTCCACTGTAAATATGTTAACCTTGACTGTAACCATGGAGTTCAATTGGGCAGACTTGGAATGCAGACTTAGATGCAAAAGTTTAATACCCAGCTGTCTTTAACTAACTTCATACAAAATTTACAAATCAACACTCATAATTGAAAATTGTTACTATTACTAAATTATTCAAAATGGTGATTGGATGAAATATTATTGCTTTGCATACACACACATAGAGTTCTCAGTAAAACAGCTATGTTTATTTTTTTTCGTAACCAGAAAATTTAAGTAAAATATATATTAAGTAAACAGCAAGAATCCAAATTAGAATGCTTTATCAAAGAAAATCGAAGATGTTTTTATAAATTTTGATATGATCTATGAAATATATCAATTTGAGACTCCACTAACATATCTAGTACAAATCTTTTGTCAAGAAACTTGGCCAATTCTAATCGCCTATTTGGAACAAATGCAAAGAGGGGAATTTCGTTAAATTTGTCACCAGGACAAGGAAAACAACATCATATTTGTTTCAAGTGGCTCATTTCGCATCAGAATTTACTTGAGCTTATACATGCATCGCCCATCATAACATAAATAGAAAGTGAAGGATATTTGATACGCTTGTAACAATTTTTAAAACTTACCCGACAAAAGTCGACTGATTCCACTTTTTGGTTCATTTCCTCCGAATAATAATCATTGCTAATTATCAGAAGGGCATGTTCGATTCCTTTGGCACGACTCAGTGACTTGAGAAGATGGGAGAAATAATCGACCCGATCGTGAACCTGAACGATGATAACAATCGTACTCTGAGAAAAATCCGTGCCGAATTTCTCCGCATTTCGAACGTACTCTTTGTCGTTCAGAATTTTCACCATCTTCCGCAGTTTTTCTATTTCCGGCGAAGCGATGTGAATGTGATTTTCAACTTTGACGGTCGGACGTTTAAAGTTAACCGTTTCCGTAATCCTCCCTTGAGGAAGATTTTTGTTTATATTTTCATTTGCAGCAGTATTTCTAATACTTCCGTCAATACTGGAAGTTTTGAAGGTATTTTCATGGCGAAGTGTGGTCGGTAATATGTTCAAATTGTGTAAATTGGAACCAACATCTCTGTTTGGCGGTGTGTAGTTAAGTGGGTTGGCTGTAATCATCTCGTGGAGCGCAAGCACCGCAAAAATGGCACAAACTCCTAAAGTAATCAAAATAAACAGTTTGGTGCTGAACAGGCGAATCGTCGTCCCTCCGAATTTGAAAATCATGACTGCCAACTTAGCTAAGGCAACTGTGGCAGTGAAAACTGTCTACAGCCACGGAGAGTCGTATGAAGAACTGCACTCCCATAAAGTTGTACGTGTCATGGTTGACACAAGGTTGTCGTGAACCGTAAAACGATTGTTAGCTTGTCTTCGAAGACGCCCATTTCGGTTCACTTGTTTCTCCCTGTTGTAGTTAGGAAGGTTCTATACGCCATGTGATCACAGTGTGTTAATATTTGAGGTATTTTTTTGAAGCTCATTTACGTCTTTCCCACGACAGTATTTACCCGGCCAGCTGTATGGATTTCGAAACGACACCGAACTGTAAAATATTTGCGCGCGTGTTTTTCGTTGCGTGCCGTTGCGTGGAAGATGAGGGAATAACAGTTTCCCCAGTCTCTCGCGGACAGTGATTAACAACATGGCGGCAAGCGAGGAGGCGAGTGACATTTGTGTCATCGTCAAATGGAGTGGCAAAGAGTATCCGATCGAGCATTTATCACCGTCCGAAACTGTGAGGTACCTCAAAGACCTGATAAAAGAAAAAACTGGGGTTTTACCTGAAAGACAGAAGCTTTTGGGTTTGAAATTCAAAGGTATATTAAAAAAGTAATTTGGACAGTTTAAAATGCTAGTCCGCGAGATATTTTTTATTGTAATGAAGTTAAATTTGTTTTGTAGACGAAGAGTTTGTTTATGAACAGTTTTTATACTTGTTACTCAAAAATTTATAGCATCTGCTAAACAACAAGAAAAGCTTTCATGAGACTTTGGCAGGCACATAAATTTCAGTTGTTGGTTTTCAGGTGATGTGACTGGGCCATATGCGTGTTTGAAAAAAACAAAATACATAAATAAAAATAAATAAATAAAAATAAAACAAACAAACAAACAAAAATTTGCCCAAAATTGGGTACAAAACCATTTTTTTTATGCCCAGTCTGCAAAAACAGTGCATTACATTGACCAAGCGTGGGGTCAGAATGCCTGCATATCGGCTAAGTTCTTTTTAGCATTCTTTTCGACCAAGACTAAGGCAAGGTCAATAAGGTGTGAAAAAGGAACAATGCCAATATCCAGTCATCTTGACCAAACAGGCTAGGCCAATAAATGGTTTATTATCTGGTTATATAGATGACTTTTTCTTATGGGACCGATGCGGGAAATCGCGAACAGACATAGGTAGCCAATCACAGTACTAGAATTGATTCATCTTGCCTGATCTTGAATTCTGCCGTGACTATGTAATGGCAGTGGATCAACTTGGCTGTTTTGTCATAAGGGTGAAAACCAAGAATTTGTTGTTTTCCAGTGAGACCTACATTGAAAAAAAAGGAAAAACATACAAGCTAAAAAGGATAGGTCTATAATTTTATACGTTCACGCAGATGATGCCATGCACTGTAGCAGATACCACATTCCGCTTGCGGCTTTGCTGCTCACCCTGACCGGCACCCTGACCCTGTGACCCCTCCCCTAGATCTGCCTCTACCTGTTTGAGTTTGTGTGTTTGGTTGCTGTTTCTCTCCTGATCAGGCAAAAGTCCCTATGATGATGTTCGCCTAAGTGCCTTAAATTTGAAGCCCAATACAAAGATTATGATGATGGGAACAAGAGAAGAGAACTTGGTAAGAAGTATATAGCTGTGTACAATGTAACAAATTAATTCTTGGTCTAAAGACAATGTTTCCTTAAAGTGAAGTTAGAAAATGGAACGACAGCATTCTTGTCTGAAGTCTTTACATGCACAAAAAACCCCTACAGCAGTACGATGAAAGCAGGCCCTCATGGTATGTTGTAACAGTTATAAGCCAAGTGTACATGTAGAGCCATGGAAGATCTCAGTTCCAACTTTAAATCATTGTACTTATAGACTACAATAATTATATTTCTCCTAAACACATCAGGCCCCAAATGTTCAAATGCTGGGTAGCACTATGCACCCGGATAAATCACTAACCAGTGGATGGGTATTAAGGAAACCAATTGCATTATTCACTGGATAACGATTTATCCGCTGGATAGCGTTACCCACCTTTTGATCATCTAAGGCCAGGTAGCTATCTTCAAGCTAGTATAGTAAGTGGCTTATGGTGAAATCTCCATTTTCAGGCAGAAGTAATTTCTCCATCTGAGGAACTTAAAAACAGTGAAGTCATAAATGACTTTGACATTGAAGAAGAGGAGATTCAAATAGAAAATAGGTACATGGACAATTAACTACTGATACCTGAAATGATGGTCAATCTCTATGCATTTAAACCCCAAAAGATATACCTCTTTTACAAATAGGCCCATTTATTTATGATTTAAAAAATGTATGCAAATGAACTTCCTCGTTTGAAAGTAATTAAGAATTCTTTTATTGCATAATTATGCTATAACGAGATCAGAAAGGCTAATTATTATCATATGCATAAAAGAATATATTAACAGGCTGCCATTATGAAAGAGGTCTATACCACTGCTTGTGTAAAATTATGTTGATCAGCAAATAATTATCGACACTGTTCTTCGTACTTTTTTATGGTCCCAATGAAGCCTCCTCGGCGTTGTGGAATGGCCTCTCCTTCTGAATTTTCTGCATCCACCACGCACACTAGTAAATATTATTGATAGTAGTCAAGAGTCCCATTTGTTACGTACTATGTGTATGGGCTACTATGTGTTATGTGAATCATCAATTTCGTACTCGTTTGTTTACAGAGATGAAAATCTGGCAAAGATCAACAAAAGAATATCAGACTATAAAGTGGCAGTTCGCAATCCCCCAAGAGTTGGGAAAAAACTTCTTGTTCTTGATGTGGACTATACAATTTTTGGTATGAAACTGCATGACGCAAGTTATGTCTCATTTAAAGTGAGGTGTATAGATTGACGTGTCAAGTAATGAAATCTCCCCACCTTAACCTTTATGTGTGGTGTCCATGATACTGGCAATGACCGGAATTGATGGAAATTGATTATAAGGTGCACAACAGTCAAAAAAACACCGTGATTTCCTGGGCTTCTAAGTTTGGGCATGACCCTGGCTAATTTTAAGGGAAACAAAATGAAAATAGAACGAAATGCACCTGAAAATCTTAAATTTTATATATAATAGGTGACAGTGGAGTGGTATTAATTTAATGTTTTCCACTAAAGAACATCACTATAACTTAAAAATCATTGTTCCCCAAAAAAGAAAAAAAAAGGAAAAAAAAAAAAACAACAACAACAACAATAACGTACTTTAATTCATATGAATGCTTAATTTAACTGGTTTAAAATTTTCATATTAAAAGTGTTTTAAAATCTCCTTGATCTTAAATGTGCAATGTACGTATTAAAATGCATTAAAGGTAACTCTTATCAATATATTCTAGATCATAGATCAGTTGCTGAGACTGGATTTGAGTTAATGAGACCCTACCTTCATGATTTTCTCACCGCATCTTATGAGCATTATGACATTGCTATATGGTGTAAGTATATTAAAAAAGAGGAATTGCTAGCTCTACTCAATTAAGCTTTAATAGTGTGTGTCAAAATTTAGTTTTGAGGAAATATGCAATGAAAATAATATTATTTATAATCAACGTCCATGAATAATTTTCTGGAACATGTAGATGTGTGTGTAGATAGGTGTTTTTATGAGTGTGCTCCTTCGCAGTCCAATTTGTTTCATTCTATTAAATGTAGAGCTGCATTTTAATTAATAATTAATTATTTTTTGTTAATATGTTAATTATTAAAGCAGAGCTGCATATTGTTTATTATTATTTTATTATTTACTGTTATTAGCTGCCACCAGTATGAAATGGATTGAAGCTAAAATGAAAGTAAGAAAATTTCTTTCACACGTAAGTTTAATAAAATGTCCATTACCTGTAGTTTAAATGTGCAATATTTAAATCATATTAGGGCTTTCACTATAAAAAAGCTGGGGGCCAGGGATCTCCCCTGGCTACTTTTAAACATAGCCCCAGCTTTTTCATAGGAATTGGAGGGAAAATAGATAACCAAAAGTCAACTCTCTAGTTGTTCAATTCCACACTTCTTAGTCTAGTGTCACTTCCATCAGCCCTGTATAATATAGTGAACTCATGCAACAGGACAGCAGATCAAGGAAGGAGAACACATTAATGTTAAGTAAAGTTTACGACAAAAAGGCAAGTAGTAGCCCTGTTATGTTTGCACACACGGATTGCCATCCTCTTCTTTCTGCTGTTCTGTTGCATAGGCTTGCTAATGATTTCAAGTTTGCCTATTTTAAGCTTTTGTTGTTTTCCTGTAGGAGCTGGGTATTTTAGACAATCCAAATTACAAGATATGCTTTCTACTAGACAGTGGAGCCATGATCACTGTCTTGTCATCAAAGTATGGTCTTATTGAGGTAATTTACATCAGGGAATTTGAATGCAGTGCCTTTAATTTCTAAAATTTCTGTATGACTTTCTTTCTTGTATACTGAACAATACGTAACTAATTGTCAAAGTTCATTAATACAAATAAATGTTATGAATAGAACTGTATTCGTGGCAATAATGACTTTGTTGTTATATGTTTCTTTGATTATACATTGTAATTTTGTGTTAATTGCCTCAGCTAGTCATCAAAATTATTAGGTTATTCATCGAAATCATCAGTCATCTACTGATGACTGTGGTTCAGGCCACCATTCAGAAGCATCATTAAACTGACTGTTGTGATCACTGACAAGCAAAACAATAATAATTGCAACATGGTGGAGTGGTCAGTATATCATTACAGACCTGTCAACCTAAAAACGTAAAAAACCTGGAGGAGATGGCTCAAAAACTTGGAGATTACTTAAATTAAGAAACGAAGAGATTTGTCATAATCACAGAAATGAATATTTCTTGCATCCTTGGCCTAAAAAAAAAATAATACTAGAGGGAAATGTTCTTAGTGTCTACAAACATTTTTCCTTGAAGGATGCAGACTTTACCAATGCCAACCTTGTCAGGTGATCATCCATGACCATAATTATATGGTATAAACCGAATACATAATTCGTGGTGGTTTTGTCCTTTTATTTGCCATTTTTACAGTCCTGAGTATGTATTTTAGAATTCACATAACAAAGAAGATAATTTTCTGAATGTCAGCACATTTTGGTATTTTTAAAACTAATTTTATCATCATTATATTATTTATTTATTTTAAATTCAAATAAGGATCATATCAGTTTGCTGTGAGATCTTAGCAACTCACCATGAGACTGGGGGAATTGGCCAGTCTGTCACCAGTTAGATTTAATTTTACTAAGTGGTTAAGAGAGTGACCTATTAATTGGCCATAATAATCTTATCATAAGTCAACTTTAATTTCTTGCAGACCAAACCACTTGGTGTTATTTGGGGAAAATTTGAGGAATATAACAGTAAAAACACAATCATGTTTGATGATCTCAGAAGAAACTTTCTTATGAATCCTCAAAATGGTTTGAAGGTACACATCTGTAATTTTGTGTCCACTTGAACACTCTGATGACTTGTAGAATTAATCAGCACAGAATTAAAACCCGAATTAATTTGCTACATGTATGTAGGGCCATAGGAAATCATGTCTGAGGAACATTTAACAACTGCAGAAATTCCATGCTGATGGTGTGTTATCACCCAAATGTGGGAAGTGACAAATCATCAGTTATAGGATTGCTCTGCTCCTTTCTCATAGATTATTTTGCAGAGATCATTTCTTTTTGTAGATCAGACCTTTTCGAGAAGCCCATAAAAACAGGCACAAAGACAAGGAGTTGTTGAAACTTGCCCAGTACCTGGAGAACATTGCACAACTCAATGATTTCAGCAATCTAAATCACAAGTATTGGGAAAGGTTTGTACTTGGTAGTAACTATTTTAAATTTTGTAATACCACATATTCTAGAACTGACAATCAGAAAAAAAAAATACATACACGTAATTTTAATGCCATTTTTAATAATTCATTGGCGTTTAATGTTTATACTAGAAATACGTTATCGAAAGCTAAAAAGGGTTAGCGGTGAGAGAAACAAGCCAAAGAAAAATACGATGAAAGAAAAAAAAAACTGGAATTAGCCCCGCCGGATTTTGAACCTGCACCCCAACTTCCTCCAGCACAAAAAGTGAGGCCTCATATCACTGGGCCATGTGACCACAGCATCATTGTGTCGTTTAAAATTAATAGTCTTGAAGTATTTTTCTCAGTCATTCACACCCTTTGAATCTTGTGGACCTGTATATGTATCATGAATTCAAAGATACGTGTGAGGAAAAGTAGCTTAAAAGAGTATTTCAAAACAATTTAGCATTATTTTCGTGTTTATCCACTCTCGGGATTTATACATATAGGCCGCTCGATGAACTTACTAGTCTTCTTCTTTGCTGCTCTCGCTGAAGTTCAGGTCACCATTCTTTCGGTGTTAATCTTCCACGGCAAGGATTTCCAGCCACTTGTCCAATCAGGAACTGTTGTGTTTGCAGCCCACTGTTATTTGCCTCAGAAATACTTTTTGCGATTTGTCAGGTGATTTGCCAATGTGCAGTAAGCAAAGGGTGAATAAAATAAGCCCTAGTTGGTGGCCATGTTGCCTGGAAACCCAAAATGCATGATGATGTCATGCTGAATGGTGTCTTTAGGATTTGTTTATGATCTATTTGCTAGGCAACTGCATATACCAAACCGTTGGAAAGATTTATGACCACAGCAAAATCACACTCTGCTTGCGATCCTCACGTGAACCGCTCGACAAAATTATAAACTCGCTTCTCTCGCGGCCGAAAAAAAATGCCATGAATCTACGGCAAAACAGTCAATATCTGTGGAAAATATTGCTTATGTAGACATTGACTTACTTCACCAGTGTGGCATTTCTGTTGTTGACTTGTAGACGTCACTCCTACGAAACTTCCCAAGCAGTGAGGAGTGAGGAGAGGTTGCTGTATAATTAGGCTACAGTGTATACATTGTGGAATCCTGATGCTTCCATTGCATTGGAATCCAGTGAAATTGTGTTTACAGTCAATTTAACGTGCCTATTACACGGATACTTCTGTTAGTTTACATGATTAGAAGGAGAGTTAGATAGTAACAGTCAAAATAACAGTCATTGATAAAATAGTTAAATTTCCATTTTCTCTCATTTCTTTCAGCTACAAACCATAAACACATGGACCGTTGCAAAAATTGCAAGAAATGGTTGATTTCCCTACAACATGAAAACACAGGTCATGCATTCACTTTCCAGCATTAGTAGTACAAAGTACATATTTGCAGAATCACATCAGTTGAATGTACAGACTGATTAGTCTGAGTTTTCTTAGCCAAGCCACTGTCTTCACCATATCCCTTGTTGCCTGAATGAGATAGCTTCCTCAATGCCTCATATTTCTTGAATTTATTATTATGATTATTATCCACTTTTAATGAGGCTCCAAGAAAATAATAATTGACAAATTTTTTTATAAGTGCAGTGAATTAGTTTGTATATAGGAGCATGTACATTATTATTTATGTTGGAGCAATTTGAATGTGTAGCTTTATCATTTTGTTACACAATAAAACATTTTCAGTAAAACTGAGGCATTATGAAGCATTGTTTGTGACGTGTTTTCAATAACAGCTTATCACCTGGTATATTTTAACTAGAACTTCCTGTATCGATGGCAATTGCAACATTTGCCAAGACATTGTCAAAATGTCTACCTTAATTTTTGTGACCCATATTTCATGATAAAAACCCTAGCTTTCTATCCAGGCAACACTGACTGTTTCAACCCCTTTTGTTTGTTCCCACACCTCTTTTTTGATTATCGAAAACTCAGGAAGAATCACAGGAGAAGCAGCGTGGGTTTTTCATTTGTTCCTGACCCATGAATGTTTACTGAAATGAGTGGTTAAAAACATAGAACAATCACCATGCACGTCCAGATCTTGTAAGTGTTGTTTGCAATATGATTAGCATGAAACTCCTGAAAAGTCAGAAGAGGTCTCATAAACATTAAGATGGAATCCACTAGGAAATTGAGTAATTTTAATTTTCAGTGGACAAAAACCTTTTACCAGAATAAATTAAAGAATATTGCATTCTTTTTCACATTTTTCAAGGACTAAACATGTAATTAGTTGTTCTTAATAACACCAAAGAAAAGTTGTTATGGGAGCCGAAGAAAATGAATGTCAAATTTCACAAAACTACACCTTACACATAAAATTTTCAGAATTTTACCTGTGTTTTCACAATTCTTGTGAAATTTGACATTCATTTTCTTGGACTTCCATGAGAAATTTCCTTTGGTGTTATTACAGACAACTAATTACATCTTTAGTCGTTGAAAAATGTAAAATGTAACAAAGAATGCAATATTCTTTAAATATTATTCTGGTACAGGGTTTTGGTCCACTGAAAATTAAAATTACTCAATTTCCTGATGGATTCCGTTTGCATGGGAGGCTAGAAGTAGCATACCAAGGATAAAGGGTACCAGCAAGGTGAAGTGACCGGCTACATGAACAGGCAACATGGAACTCTCTCAGCTACATAACACAGCTTCAAAATGGAAGGGGAAAGGGCAGAATAGGCCATTTGCATCCTCTGAGTACTCCTTTCCTCTTGTACTCTGAAGCACTTGTCATATGCTTCCTTAGAAATTACCAGGTTACCTGTTTGCAAAGAAAATTGTCTGTCAATCCAAGACAGTATCTACCCCTACACTTGGCTCATTCCTAGATATCTCGTACTGTTCTTGTTTTTTTTTTTTGATGATGATGTATGAGAAAAATCATTGAGGTTGCTGCATGCATTGGTCATGTTGGAGATGTGCAAACACTGGCATATTGTTCTTAACCAGTCTTATATTCTCGATTTCCCGTCAAAAAAGTCAGTGGAAAACACTTTACTTTAACCTCAACTGCCACTTTTCTCATGATCTCATGTTCTCTTGAATCTAGCTGATTGTTGTTTCTCCAATGGTGCTTTTATAGATTGCTGGCAGTCCCTAGTCTCCACGATTTGTTGCACGGCGAGTATGTCATGCAAGCAAGTAAAGCAAATCTGTCTCCTCCCTCATGTGTTTGCCACACTCACTTGCACGGCCTGCCAGCATAACAGTGAATCCTGAGAGAATGCTAGCTGTTTCATGGTTACTTCTTCCATTCCTGACTCTTGTTTTGTTGTTGCCCCCAGACAAAACAATTTGAGAAGCAGCGCATATTGTTTTATTCTGTGCAAGAGCAGGGAAATTACTAGTCTCCAGTCTTACGCGTTAGTATTAAAGGAAGCAAAATGATTCAATATATACAGTAAGTATGAAGGACGTTTTCGCAATAATTACCCAACTGTATTGCTTCATTTCCCCATTAAAACTCCAATACACTCTACTTGAATGCGTCCTTTTTTGAATAATTGCAAGCTTTTTACCCCCAGGCAACCGATTGCAGTCGATCAAATATCTTTAACAAAATATAAATCAAGATTGGGTGTTCTTTTCACCGGACGTTTCTCCAAGCTCAAGTGACCTTCCCGTAAAACCAGTTTTGTATCCTTGGTTTCTCTCAAACATAGTCGTTGGAATCCCTTCCTTGTATTTTAAACTCCGTACTTTTGTTGGATCCTCTAGCGCATCAAGTTGTCTCAATGTTCGTTCTTGAAGAGTGCTGGGTTTTTCTTTATTCCACTTGTCATTTTTCCGGACTCGAGATTCGATGAAATAGCCGACACTCCCCACTACCACTGCAACCGGTAAAACGATATAGGGAGCATAAGCTCGAGCTGCTCCCATTATTAAAGGCCAAACCATCGTTCCAACAGAGGAGAAATTGTACAGCTTTGCTTTGAGCTTTGCTTTGCAGGATTGTAGACCGCGAAAAGTTAACGAAGAGAGACTGGGAATGACTCATCTCTAGTCTTTCTCGGTTCTTGAGCGGCCTTGTAAAAACTGACAGAACCAAAATGGCGAGAGCGTTTCAATATTTTATGCCATTCTAGCCAACTCTAGACTTAACCATGCTGAGAACGAGAATTTTCAGTCCCATGAATCTTTTGATTCTCTCAATAACCCTTACTTTTTTTGGATTGTTATGGATGGCAAGTCAGTGTAGCAACGGTAAGTTGAAACCTAATTGCTCTTGGTATTTAACTCACTGGGATGTCTGACGTCTTTCGCGAATGACGTGTCAAGCCCATTTCATTTCGGTAGGAAAAACTCTTGTATAAGAATGAAGCTAAATATTCATGGGTGGCACAGGAATCTTTGTGTAGGAATCATTTCAAGTAGATTGAGAAAAATCTTACCCAAGGGTTTTTACATACGTATCATTGAATTTCAGGTATTTAAGGATAATATTTCTCTCGTTATATTTGCATATGGCTATATTAACGGGAGATAACAGCAGTAATCTTAAATAAGTGTCTTCTACTATTCTTGTGTAATTAATATTTTGATTATTGAGTGAGTGAGTGAAGGTTTCAGCACCCAGTAAATAGCCAGACATAAGTCCTGGGTCTGTGCCCCACGGTTTTACCAGTCTTTTGTCTCAATCTAAAGATAACCTCCCTGGTATATCCCAGGATTAACCCCTGGGAAAGCCAATGAAACAGCATATTATATTGAGGGTTTATTCTAAGTAGAGCCCTTAAAACTGATCCAGCCAGACTACTTAACTACATTGTACTGTATCCGCATACTGTACTACTGTGTCCACAAGCTCCCATAACCACTTGCTGGTAATGATCCCGTACTCCCTATGAACAGTGTGTGGGTACTTTAATGTCCCACAGAATTTTCCTTGATTACAATGGTGTAGGGCTTATAGTTTATGAGACAACACAATATCTGAGAAGGCCAAGAAGTCTGACCATTTAAAGTTATTTCAATTGTCTGAGTAATGGTCCAGCCAGGGTTTGACTCCTTGCTCGGCAGACTTGTCCAATTAGTTGACAGTGGCTGGGGCTTACATAAGTTACATGTATGCAGATGCATCATAATACAAGGCTGTGCTCTAAGAAAACAAATGAAGGGAGCTCAGTGCTTATATGTGACCCTATTTGGGAAAAGCGGGCTTAACGAAAATTGCGTTGAGCCGTTTTTTATCGCAACGCATTTGGAAACGTTGGAATGCATTGGCGAACATTCTTCATGCATTTGAAAGCGTTGGCAATGTTCTCCAACGGAACTAAGAAACGTTCAGTATCGTTTCAAAATCATTTCAAAACATTTGGAAAACGTTTTCGAACGTTGAAAATGCATTAAATGGAACATCATTAATTCGTTGCAACAGGAAACATTCACCAAACATTCTAACATTGTCAACAACTGAGTTACAAAAGCTCCGAACTATCAGGCATCTCCTCGCTCCATCATTCGACAATTTAAAGCCACGGTCATAAATAAAGTGATAAAACGTTTAAAACTTCACAGCGTGAGAAATGTTCGATCCGAGGAATCAATAATTTGTTCCATTTTCAGTTTTTAAGGCTGTGTTATGAAAGAGGGCAAAAAAGAGGGGAATTACATTTGAAAGAACGCGCACGTTGTCGAAAGTATTATAGGTCTGAATTTATTTTATGCTGTTCTTTCAGTGTTATGGCGGTGTGCATGCTTGTGACTACCTTGTTTGATAGCTCCCTGTAAAATTAACAGATATCAGATGCTTGATATGGGTCGCTGATTTTAAGACTAAAATATACCAAATTTCTACCAGGAGAGTTGTACTATTTACCGACTTTTCCTTCTTCCTGTGTTTCCCGTTTTTTTGCTTGGGGATTCAACAAATTCAACCAGTTCAGTCACGGAACGCCCTGGCAAACGCTGGACACTGTATCCTTTAAAAGCGAAAACCTGAAAACGTGACATTCTTCACAAAAAATTCATGGTTTTTATCTGTACCAGTCAGCTGTTATGAAGATGTCAAAATTTATGATCACGAATATTTTCTGATCAAAGCTTGTTGCGTGACACTACCGTCATCACGGCTCAAGGGTTCGGAAAGGTCAACGCGGTAATGTTTTCTGTATTACTGTTTTGATTTTTATGGTTTTTTTTTTCACTGATTCTTCAATGGACTGCAATGCTCGCATGACTCGCTGGCTCTCATTTTATACACGTACAGCACACTTTTTGGCAGATTTCTTTGCCATCATCGCTCGATTAACGTTGTCAAGCAAGTGCGCAATGTGGTCGTCACTTTTAATCTCTAAAATCTTCTGCTTGCGATCGTCCCGACTTCAATTTCATCGGAATTACTGAAGTACTATTTTTCTTACCTTTGGTCTCGCTCTCTCCCAATTTTTTCGTCTTGTATCTTTTCCCCGAGGGATTTTGGAGCCGGAACGGATTAATTTTGAAAGGGATGTGAGAATTAACCGACTGCAAGCAGTCTAGCATGCCGCTGACAAAGGTAGAAAAGGGCAAATAATTGGCAACCCCAAAATTCTGTCAGCCAGCTACGTACAAAAAGAAATGTACGACCTCAACAGTCAGCCTTACAGTTTTAAGAAACTTCTCTCCTTTATTTCCAGATTTGAAAGTCCAAGAAAGTAATTTCATGCTTTTCTCAATTACCTCTTGACATGTTACAACCTGAAACAACATCAAGCACACGCAATGTCACAAAGATCAAAGTTCTATGCAAATTGATTTGAACCGATCGAGAACAAAAAGTAAAAGCCTTTGTTTTCCATTGCGAATTCATGTCGTTATTCCCGTTGATATTACTGTGATATGGAGGTATCATTACTGTTCCTGAAAAAAAGTTGTATTTTCAAAGAACGTTCTCAAGCGTATTGATGTCTAATCATCAGTGGCTTCAATTTAAAATGATAATTTTTCGCATCCTGGGTTGAACTTCAGGAACTAATTTTATTGATTAAAAAAAACGTTTGGAAGCATTGCCAATGCATTGAACAACGTTGGAAAAACATTCTAAAACGTTGGAAAAACATTTTAAAACGTTGAAATCAATTGCCTGCGTTTGAAGGAAAACGTTGTAAATGCGTTGAGAATCATTGGAATCCGTTTCAATGCATTGTAACGCATTCAAAATGCGTTGAAATGCTTTTCAACGCAAATTTCATTAAGCCCGGTTTTCCCAAATAGGGTCACATATGAACCTTTGAAGTCCAGGGTGCCCAGCATTTGATTTGTAGTGCTCGAACTTAACAGTTGTCTGCTCGTCCAAAACGAGTAAAAAAATTCTGAAAACGAGTAGTTTTCTTTCCCACTAGTCCTCTGGATAAGTAAAGTTATCACTCTCTGAGGAATACATGATATTTTTATTTTATTTGTATCGTACCAAAAAGTGCTAAAAGTCTTGAAAAGAAGAATTGCCAAAGTCAAACGTTTCAAAAATGAACAGGCAAAAAGCGCTAGGCACTCTCTTGCCGAATAGTAGTCTGGGTTCTATTTAAAACAAAATGCACCGTAGGATAAAAGATGGCGGCTTTTTCTTTCGAGGGTCTGTATCCAGCCTAGTCCCCAGGCATTCTCGGCTCGGTCATTCCTGGTCTCTACCGAGTTTCCATGAGTAGTATACTGTAGAACATGCAAAATGTGAGCAAAAATGTCATGTATTGCCAAACATTGTGAATTATATGACTGGGTGTGATTTGTCTTGAGATAAAAATCAGTGCTCCAAGCTTAGCGTTGTTGTACCCCTCGGTAGCCTACAATTACTATAAATGGCCTTGTAAATGCCCAGGGCATCTATTTAATTTTAGGCATCCAAACGGAGGCATTTAATAGATAGGAGGCTTTTAAAAGACAGAGGTGTTTATGTTATGGGTCAAAATTAAATTCAGGTTAACTTGAACCTGAACCTGAAACTGAATTTAATTTTGACTGGTAACATTTTATTCCCACAACTGTAACAAGGCAGCTCAAAGAAAAAAAAAACAAGAGAGTTTAAAAATAGCGGAATATCCATTCCATCAATTGATACGTCTAGGCTGTATAGAGATCCATGTCGCTCTTTCAATTCTTAACTTCGATGTCAGAATCTGATCCTTGCTTATGGTTATTGCATTGCTGTTGCTGGTCTATCCTTGCTTTGAACTTGACATTAAACAAGATCTACAATGTGCAAACCCCTGCCAATCAAGCAATAAACTGAACAAATTGAATGTTTTGCACCTTTTTGCTATTTCCTATTATTTAAGAGTAATTCTCGTAGGAGGCATCTATTAGATGGGGCGTTTATTAGAGAGAGGGTTCTAAGGCCCTGTCTACAAGGAAGGAGGGTAACCCTGGTGCTAGGGTTACCCTAGCACTTAGACATTTCCTCTTTTTTACACAATGTGTTTAGAAAGCAGGTAGGGCTACCCCAGCACTAGGGTAACCCTACCTGAGTGCTTGGGTTTCCCTAGCAAGAGGGTTACCCCTCTGCTAGGGATAACTCGCCTACCCGTGACAACTTTCCTCCTTCATGCATGACCATTAATCCTGACAATTTTAATGGAATTATCCAATTTCTGAGCTCAATTATAAACATCTGAACAATATAAGGTATTTTCTTTATACAATGATAATATTTTCCCTTTTTTTGTGAATTTAACGTGTTTTCCATGGAGAACTTCAAGTCTTATTTCAAATCTTGGGTGTTACAAGGAATGTCACGCATGACGGAACATGTCAGTAAAGCTGGTTAAGTTGACCCGGGCGACAGGGTAACCCTACCTGTGAAATTTGCATTGTCATCTGGATTGCTGCCCAAGGAACTTAAGGTGGCGCTGCTATCACCTATTCTTAAGAAATTAAATGCAGACTTTGAGCAGTTTAGTAATTTTCGCCCTGTATCAAATTTAAAGTTCCTGTCTAAATTGATAGAGAAAGCAGTGTTTGTGCAATTGAATAGCTATCTTGGCGAAAATGATCTACACGAGCCTCTTCAATCTGCGTACAAGATTTTTCACAGCACCGAGACTGCACTTCTCACAGTTACAAATGACATTATGCTGTCATTGGATAAGGGTGAGAATGTTTTCCTCGTTTTATTGGATCTGTCGGCAGCATTTGATACCGTTAACCATTCCTTGCTGCTGGCACGACTGCAGAAATCATTTGGTATCAGAGGAACTGTACTGCAATGGTTCGATTCTTATCTTTCTCAAAGAACTCAGTTTGTAAACATCAATGAGGCGAATTCTACGGTACGAGATCTTCCCGTGGGTGTTCCCCAAGGTTCAGTTCTTGGACCTGTTCTCTACCTTCTGTATACTGCGCCACTTGCTAAAGTGATAAGATCTTATGGCTTAGATTATCATCTATTCGCCGACGATACTCAGTTATACTTTGCATTCAAATCGGTGGATGTGGTCGCTGCTAAATCGAGGGTCGAGAACTGCGTTTCTGCAATATGTCGCTGGATGGATCTCAACGAATTGAAGCTAAACCACGACAAGACGGAGGTCATGCTTATCCACTCAAAGCATCGTCCCTCTCCATCCTTTCAGTCCTTATGTGTTGGTGACGAGAGCGTGGCTGCCTCTCAGTCGGCTAGGAGTCTTCGTGTTATCTTTGATGAGCACATGTCTTTTCATGCACATGTGTCTAGCATCTGTAGATCATCATTTTATCATCTCAGGAACCTATCTAGAATTAGGAAGTATTTCACTAAAGAATCAGCAGAAGTTGCTGTTCATGCATTTGTCACATCGAAACTAGATTACTGTAATCCATTATTATACGGCCTACCTAAGTATCAGTTACAAAGATTGCAGTATGTACAAAACACGGCGGCTAGAGTTGTGTTGCAAGTGAGTAAGTTTCAGCATATCACACCTGTTTTGTGTGCGCTTCACTGGCTACCGATTCAATATCGTATTATTTTCAAGATTCTGCTCGTCGTGTATAAATCACTGAATGGGACATCGCCTAGCTATTTAGCTCAAAAACTACATTATCGTCCTCATTCTAGATCATTGAGGTCTGTTAGTAATGAACTTTTAATGCAACCTAGATCGTATACCAAGACCTACGGAGATAGAGCATTCGCTGTTCATGCACCAAGAGAATGGAACTTAATACCCTATGAAATTCGGAAGTCCAACACCATCTCGAGTTTTAAAAGATCACTTAAGACGTACTTGTTTACTAAATTCTGTGATAACGGATCATTGTTTTTATAAATTTGTAAATATTGCGTTAGTTTTAATTTTTTCCCTTTTTTTTATCATTATGAATATGGTTTAATAGTTGTTTTAGTTTCAATTTTTCCTTTTTTATCCATTGTAAATATATTAGGATATGGTCGTAAATTTGTAAATATTTTTCAATAATGTTGTTTACATGATTGTAAAGCGCCTTGAACATAGGATAAGAGCGCTATAGAAATAAAGTTATTATTATTATTATTATTATAAACCCAGGCTACCTTTAACCCACTTGCTAGGGTAACCCTAGCATGAGGGCAACCCTCTCTCCTTGTGAACAGGCCCTAATACAATTTTAACAGTGTAGATAGGGCGTTTATTGGATAAGAGGGGTCTATTTTTGAGTGGGCATCTGTTAGGTCAATAATTTTACGGTATAAGATGGTCACCAGACATAAAATGAAAATATGGGTGGCCATAAAAAGGAAAGTTTACAATTACATTATATGATTGAATAGATTGAAATAAGTAAAAAGACAAAAATAAAAATGGAAAACGCTACCTAAACCTAGTTTAAATGTTTTGTTAAGTAATTGTGTTCGTACATTGCATAGCCTGCGAGCAAGCTCTTTTTTTTGGGTGAGTGAAGCGAGTCGCGCGAGGACACGCGAGCGAACGGCGAATACGGGAGAGGACTAGGAAATCCTTTCTCTCGCTCTCCCGCAACCCCCGCTTTCGCGTCTCCTCTCGCGTGCCTCTCGTGCGTCTACTTTTCACGATATCCCCCAAATGAAGAGCTTGCTCGCAGGCTATACATTGCATGGTCACAATACGTGCAATCGAAGACTATGATTTGTAGCTTAGCTTTCTCTTGCGACTCACGCACAACCTTCTTTCGTATCTCTTCCTTTCGTTGAGCCTGCGAAAACATCCGTTTCTCCTCGCTCTTCGCCGCCGGGGACGTTTCGCGAGGAGGAACATCTGCGACTCAGCGGCAGAAATTCCATACTGATGACGCAAACCAATGTTTACATAATAAATCCAGTAGTTATGGGGTTCCAAATACAGATTTGTCCAATTTTACGTGTCTTCTGGTCGATTTTGGTAAAGTGTTGAGTTCATCTGCCAACGAGCTCCAGCAAAACTCAAATGCTTCTCCAAGAGAAGACTATATTCCACAAATATTGACTGTTTTGTTACAGATTCTTCGCGTTTACATTTGACCTTTGTGGCCTTTTGTCTTTTGCCTGTCATTCATAAACAATAGCTAAAACAATGCAACTACTCCGTCGACCAATCAGCGCTTCTCACCGGATTCCGGACAGATTTTACGTCATCAGTATGGAATTTCTGTCGCTGAGTCGCAGACGTCCCTCCGCGCGAAATGTCCCCATCGTCGAAGAGCGAGGAGAAACGGATGTTTTCGCAGGCTACCTTTCGTTAAGTTTTCCATAAAACGAGCTAACACATTAAGAGCATTTTTCGTCTGAACGTGTGATTTTAACTAGCGTCCTTTGTTTAAAGCTAAAAATATTTAACGCCTATTAAACTAACGGAGTGTTTTTTTGGGGGAAAATGCAAATCCGGATTTCCGAATCCAAAAACCGATGTTACCTTTGGATCATGAATCCATAAAATTCACACTCAGGGTGGATTCTTGGCATCAACTCCAAATCAGGATTTTTGCGATTCACAATCTGAGTGGTTTTTGAGAAAAGATTTGAAAAAAGTTTTTGTGACAAGCGGTTTTTGAACAAAAATGGTACACAACAGATCCCGTACATGTATGTATGACATTCTAACTGAACCCATGTTGGTGGCGCCTTAACTTTGGGCCATTAGTTACATATCATTCCTTGTTTGTCATATATTTACATTCGTAGACTGTTTTTAAACCCTTACTTGTCATTGTTTTTTGTATGTATGTAGTGTCTGCTTACGCCAGTTTATTTTCCAAGTAAATAAAGAAAAAAAATTCATGGCCTTCAGTTTTAAATTCCTATAACTTTACTATTCTAAGGTGTTTCCTATTCGAGAAACGTTTGTGTTTCGAACCGAAATATATACATTTCGTATATTCATACGTAGTTTATGTTGCTTTTCCATCTTGTTTTTACTGGGAGGATCATGCAGTTTGTTGTTGTTTTTTTCCCTCTATTTTTCTTATCCGGAAGAGCTCTAAGTCATTCCGTTGTCATGGTAAATGATTCTTTTTCGAATCTTCCCTTGTTTTGGTAGTGAAGAATCCATGTGATCTGAGATCACAATTCTGTTTTTGGATACGCCTAAAAAAACTTTTGACATGTCCCACCACACGGATTTTTGTTGATTTTTAGTACATGTACATGTATGTTACTAGAGAAGCGCACCCAATATTTATTGTTGGAATAAGTTTGATCGATGTTGAATAGTTGAACATAAAAATTCCGCTATCGGTAAAACCTTGTGGCTGCTCATCGGCAATTAGGTAACCCCAAAGAAAGTCAATTTCACTGATTATTCGCAAGCGCCAAACGAATGAAGTCTGATTTAGAGAAACCAATCAGGCTTGAACACCCAGGTCGACTCCACTCGTGTAAAACTCTTTGTTTGAACTAACATTCTTGACACTTCATACTAATTAAGCATTGTTTGTTTTTAAGTAGTATTTATAGTGTGCAACAAACGGTGTTTTTTTTTTGACTTGGTATTACGGAGCTTAAGCAACGGCATCGGCAACGGCAACGAGAACGCCAAATGAGCAAAACAACAGTTCTGCACGTGCATCACGCTTTTTTGTTCATTCCTTTGCCGGCGTCCTTACACGACTATGACGTGAAACTGAAGGACGTGAACACAAGACAGCGGTTTTCTTTTTCCTGTTTCTGATCTTGGATAAAGTCACTTAGGATTACAACTGCAGAAAAATTCGCCACATTTGACAAATTGAACGAGGTAGAATTGTAGCGATGAAGTTTGAAACGGTGCAAATTCAAGCTCCTAGTGACGTTTTTGTTGCCGTCCCCGTCGTCGTTGCTTACTTTCCCTGACGTTAGTTGAACATGTAAATGTCGCCGTCTTGACCTTTTGACGCTGTTTTTCTAACTTTTGAATGTGAGGAACATTTTAGTGCAATACTTTGTGTTAAAATCATAAGCCATAAGTTTGAGGTTGACCTTCAAAAATGTATAGATTGGCTGGACAATAACGATTCGAGGTAACCTTTTAAAGATTACATTTAGCAATGTTTGTATATTTAACTTCATTTTGAACTTTATTTTTCACAGATTCAAGTAAAACAAGACACATGATGAAAAGGATTGACTTTGTCCATCAAAGTTTAAAGAGAAGAGAACTTATTCTTGATGAAAAAGAAAAGAAGGTCAATAGGAGACTTAAACTCCTTGGAATTAAAACCTTTGACAGCATATATGATGACAATGATAGCCAAATGCCCACAATTTATTTTATTACTCCCACTTACAAGAGACTTACACAAAAGGCTGACTTGACAAGATTATCACAAACATTGCTACATGTTCCTAAACTTCATTGGATATTAGCTGAAGACTCTGTGCAGAAAACAGATCTTGTTACACGCTTTTTAGAAAACTGTGGATTATCATATACCCATCTGGCTGTACGAACTCCTAAAGAACTTATAACAAAAGAAGGTGACCCAAGATGGCTGAAAGCTAGAGGAGTTGAGCAGAGAAATTTGGGCCTCAAATGGATACGCGATAATTTTCAAAGTGGTTCAAGGGGTGTTGTTTATTTTGGAGATGATGATAACACATATGATTTGAGAATATTTGAACAGGTAAGCAATACTGTAATTAAAACTAGAGGTTACAACTGGTAAGTATATATAATGCTGCTAACAGACATGCCGTGGGCAATAAAAGATCATCTGAGAAACAATGAACTAAGATGCACACTTTGCTAATGGTTCAGTTAATTTCTTTTGCATAAAGGTCATAAGGGAGTCCTACAATCACGAGGTCTTTGTAATTTGGGTCTGTATTGGCCAGTTTACCGTCCTACGAAAGTTGTCTAGTCCCCAAGGCCTCATTTTTTCGCGCGGCCAAAGCGTCACCGAAGTGAATTGACCGAGAGGGCGTGGGAAAACGCCTTACAGGGACTAGGCAAACACGAAAGCTTAGCACAATCCGAATGACGGTATAAGAATGTTACGTTATGATGATCTACCCCTGGACATTAATTGTTAAAAATCATCCTGACAAACATAAATTAATCCAGATTGTAACGCCAAAACGGGGACAAATGATACACTTTTTTCCATCCTCAATTTGATAAATTTCACAATCTCTATAATTAAATTAGATCCCACGCTTTTGGACCTTCTATCAGATGACATTTACGCGAAGCACACAGCAGTAGGCCTTTCCAGATTCTGCTCGGCAACTTTTTAGCAACTTTTAGGATTTTGAGCAACTTTTTTGTCAGAGAGCAACTTCTAGCAACTTTTCGGAATACTCGGTTGAAATACTTGAATACTTGAATCAAAATGCTAAATAACCCCCCCCCCCCTTTTTTTGGTTAAAATTTTAAACATCTTTCTAGTAAAACTCATATTTTTACCCTTTAAATGGGTATCATGTGGACGTGGTAATTAATTACAAGAATTGGGTTTGGGTAGCCTCAACCTCGTTCGCAGGGTTTTTCCCTTCTCGGGGGGGGGGGGGGGGGGGGGGGGGGGAGGGGGGGCCGAAAACGCACGATAACAACAGTTAGCTATTGAAGATTGTTACACTTAATGTCTAACTTTTTAAAGCCACTTAGATTCAACTAAAGGTTGCCTAATTTGTTGTAACTAGTTACTTAGTTGTACCTTCATGTTGATTACAAAGCAATTGTTACTAAAATTAGACATGCCGTCTTAAAAATTTCGAGCAACTTTACAAACTTTTTGGCAACTTTTTCAATTTTGAGCAACTTTTGAGCAACTTTTTGGCATATTTCTTAGCAACTTTTTAGCTTTTTCGGAGCAGAATCTGGAAAGGCCTACACAGCAGAAGCGTTGTGACCTGCCAAAGATGTCTCCCGCACTATTTAACCTTTAGTTATTACTAGTATTAGAAAAAAACAAATATAAAACAAGCACCACAACGACAACAACAAAAAAAGAAAAAAAATCAGTAACTGATTGTTTTCTCTAAATTTAAGATTCGTTATACAAAGAAAGTTTCTGTTTGGCCAGTTGGTCTGGTGGGAGGATTAAAATGGGAAGGACCAATCTGCAAAGATGGCTCTGTTATTAAGTTTTACACTCTCTGGGAACCTGAACGTCCTATGCCGGTTGATATGGCAGGATTTGCTATCAATGTTCAGCTCATTATTGATAATCCAAGTGCGGTGATGGATACCTTTGCAAGCAGAGGATACCTAGAGTCCTCTATTGTAAGCAAACTGGCAACAAGAGAAGAGTTCGAGCCTTTGGCAAATAACTGTAAACAGGTATTCCTTTTGTTGTTACATATTCTATTTTACTTTATTATTTAAATTATTAGCCTTCGGGAACAAAGGTCGAATGCTCTTTAAATGGTCATATCGCGTAGCCTTAGAAAACAGCGGACATATCGCGACACCACCGCTGGTTTTACCTCTAAATTACGTCTAACAAACGAGCGCAGAAATTCTATACTGATAGCGTGTCACTACCAAGATCTGGGTAGTCATTTTAATTGCTTGAAATTTTGCTTCAACGAATCAGAAGCATTATCCAGATCTGGTGGGTAGTGACGTGTCATTAGTATGGAATTTCGCGGAGAAAGCAGTGGTGGGGTTGTGAAATATCGGCTGTTTTCTCGGGCCACATATCTCGTAAACCGTTTTCATTTATTCAAAGTCGTTGGTTTTTCTTGTCCTTCAAATGTCCCTATTCAGTTATGTAGCAAAACGCCTTTGCAGTAAGGCGACGGGACACCTTTTCGTTCAAGCTAACCTTAGCGTAGCCCGTTTTAATCTTCCCTAGTTTTTCAACCAGAAAATCAAATTCCATTTTCCACCCCAAATTTTATACCAGTTTCAGGTTTTCGCGACCTTTTTTTCGGTAAATAGACTGGTTTTCGCAAAGGCAAACGCGATTTCCCAACGAGACCCTTTGATCTATAAGGTGAATGCGATTCTCTTGCATTCCTTTTTTTTACACCTAGATTCTTGTGTGGCACACTCAAACTGCGGACCCCAAAATGAAGCAAGAAGATAAATTAAACAAAATAGGACGCGAATCTCCGCCAATGGAAGTATAAAGTTGGTGTTCTCCTTATGATTTTTATAGACCTTCCTACCTTTCGCCACGGCCAATGCTATACTCACGCAGACGTAATCTACTGATATTAATGTGCCAACCAGGAGCGCATTGGTTTTTATAGCAAAAAATTCTTTTGTTTCACTCGTTACATATTTGAATAACAAAAACAATGTTTTAAACAGTGATATCTTCCATGCTATGATCACCGCATAACATAATAAATAGGACAAGAAAAGATTCTGAACGATACTGTGTACACCACAACATCTTATCATCATCATCATCATCATCATCATCATCATCATCATCATCATCATTTGGTTACTCTCGCAACCAATAGATCATTCTCTCTTGTCGCAACCCAGTGCTTGCTTGACCCCTAATGTATGTTTCGCTTTTTGTTTGTTGTGGTTGTTGTTGTTGTTTTTTTGAATTAGCAAAACCAAAACTATTGTTAAACTATTGATATGACAAAAATGATATAAAAATTATATATTAGATGGTTTCAAAATTAATAAACATGGTTCAAGAAGCAATGATTAATAAATTGTGGGAAATTGCGCAGCAAAACTTCTCTCTTTTTTCTATGCAAACGTGTTCTAATTTAAACGATCGAGACCACAATGTATGTTGTGCAATATTCGAAGTGAGCTTCAATATTCACATTGTGATAGGCATTGTTACATTGCAAAAAATGAATAAATAAATAAATAAATAACTTAACAACCTGTCATCAACTTGATGAGAAGACTGCCATTGCTATGACCTGTTTTTACAGCTAAAGCTATGACTGTGTTAGGGTTCAAGTCTAACCCTATCCCATCCCATATGCATTTGTGAAAAGGATAGCACTGTGTTATGGTGGCATCTAGCAATTACAGGTAATTACAATTATCCATTTGGTTTATTCAAAACAGTTTCCGTTTCTGATTGGCTCAAAACCCCTTGTTGTATAATTCTTCATTGTAAACCTGTTAATGCTGATCAAATTTTTAAAATACGCAGGTGGTTATTCATTCACCTCTGCCCTCTACGATCTCCATAATCTTGCGCGCAATTTTCCGAGAAACGTCACTGGAAATTGTCGTCAAAAATCTCAGTTGTTTGTTTGGGTTTTTTTTTTTGTTTTCTGCCACGTCAAACAAACTGTTAACAAAGCATCCACTGTGTTTATAAATTAAAGGTGGCAATAACGAGCAGAAGCTGCAAAAGTAAATGTTGGCGGGAACGCACCGATTCGTTTTCACCTTCCCATATCTGTGTTCCTTCTGGATCAGGAAGCTCTATAGGAACAATCTAAACTTGCCATGTTTCAGTAAAAAGAAGATGAAAAACATAGAGCTGAGGTAAAACTTACTGGGCTTTTCAAAAACACGCGACCGAACTCTGAAGTTCAAAAGCAAAGAATTTTGAAACACACAACACCGATAGAAATCCACGAATCACAAATGTCAAACCACGACCTTTTGTTTCCTAAGAAGATTGCTAAGATGTGAGGGTGAGAAAGCACCGATTCTTCAGTTTTTGATTGACGTCGCAGAAAAACCCAAAATCCAAAGCCGATTTTGACATCGGAGGTCGCGTAATATCCGAAACAGCTGTGAGAAATGTCTTTCTCAAGTAATTCGACTTTTCCCGTAAGCAGAAAGCAAAGTAAATTCCATTATTTAAAAAATGGACCTGAGTCCGCGACCACATATGAAAACCAAAACTTGGTCAGCGGATGACTTTAAAACACACGTCAGCTCAATGAATTTTAAACCTGATACAGTCATGTGACACTGATCAGCGGATACTCTTTTTGACAGCTGTCAATTGATCATAACATGGATTTGGCACATTTAAATATATTGATATAGATATTTGCGCCTTATAAGTTTTGAAATTATTATTATTATTATTATTATTATTATTATTATTATTATCGCGCAGTTTAAAACTTTGGAATGCTGTCCACATTATGAGTAGAATAGGGTGCATAACGTAACCTACATCACTTGAGAAGCTATACTTAGAAGTAAAAAAAAGGTCGGTACGAAACCTAATAGATCCTAATATACATAATGATATGAATCTCTCTACTTAAAAAGCCAATTTAGAATATTATTAGATTCTTATACTCTGTAAAACCTACGCAAAGACACGATGATATAAGTATCTCTACTAGAAGACTTTTTAGAAAATTATTCAGTTTTTATACTCTCATTATCTCTTATATACCTAAACAAGGCCATCATAATATGGTTATCTCTAGTAAAAGCCTATTTAGAATAATATCAAACTCTAATACTCTAAAAAATCTTAGTAAAAACATTAGCAAACTTGTGTTTCTGGATTTCTAAAGGACAAAAAGAACCTAAAAACTGAAGTCCATAGCGCCCTAACTAAGTATTTATCTTAAATGTTCTGGCAATGTTTAAAGTGTTTGAGATGACCGACTTGTGCATCCGTTCAAGTACGCCCCGTGCTCTCGCTTCAAGTAGCTTCCTCACCGACTTCTCTAGGTGTTTAGAGTAACCCCCCAGTACGTCAATTATTACGTTGTACTGTCCAACCCTGTAACCATTGTATCTCTGCTTCAGCTCCCACATCATGGGCCCATACTTGAGTGTCTTTTCCTCATCTTTCTTAGCTCTACTCTCAATCCATGGGCAGCTCATTTCAATTGTGCAGACTTCTTTCCTCTCGTGGCTGACAAGTCGCGCGTCGATCCGATTCGCTCTAACTTCGTTGTGCTCTGCATAGATGGGAATATCCCAAAACGCCTCTCTCGTGGTGTTCTGGTAGGCTGGTTTTGGCATCACCGGTGAGTACCATGGTGGAACCTCTTCTATTAACCCATGCTCTCGCAGGAGCTCAAACAACAGAATCTTTTAAGCTGCATTATGCCTATATAGGTACTTGGTTTGTGCCAGGGATGAACGTCCAGCCAATACATGTGCAACGCTGTCAGCTACCTTCCTACATAACCTGCATAGAACTTCGCCGTCGGTGGAGGTTTGCGTCTTCTCCTTTGTGTAGAGCTTCGTAGGTAACAACTGCTCATACAATTCATACATGCCAGCGATAGTATATGTAGGGCATGTAGCCCAAGCTTTTAACCATGCAAAGCAGCTGGTTATGCTTAGGCTCTCATCTTCCCATCCGATACGGAATAACGTTCCTTGCCACTTTTTGTGTTTAGCGATCTCCAAGAACTGCTTCTCTTGAGATTGCTTTAACAGATTCCCAGCTCTTGCTGCAGTTACCACCTTTCATTCTGTTGTAACACACACGGGATTTAGGGTACCAAGCTGAAGTGTGATGTTGAGTTCTTCAGCGTACTTAGCTGCTTCCTTTACGAGCGACCGGTGGCCTGATGCCATGGCGTGTTCTTCAAATTCTCTAACTGCTTCCACAGTCTGGTCCGGGTTCTGATAAAATTTCAGTAGCGATTTGATTTTAGTGATCTTGTACTCGTGTTCGACTGATCGCAGGCCTCTACCCCCTTTCTCCCTCGGTAGATATAACAAAGAAGTCAGGCTAGCTGGGTGCTTGCCACCGTTCTCAACTATGATCTTCCGAGCTGCTCTGTCCACATCTCTTAACTCTGATAGAGGCCAATGCTGTGTCCACATTAGGTACCGCAGGACCGGGAGTGCATACTGATTAGATGCCTGTACACGGTTACAATCAGACAGGGGGCTGGACCATATAATAGATATCCTGCGTAGATACTCTTTAGCCGCGCAAGCTAGGGCCAGCCGTTCATCCTGTCGAACGTTTATTATTATTATTATTATTATTATTATTATTTTAAATAATAAAACAAAACTTTATTCATAGATTTAAAAAAATAGACTATTTACAGATTCAAGAATATGAAATATTAAAATATATACCCTATGTACATTCTTCTTGTGTACGAAAGAGAATTTCGTAAAATGACTATCTAAAGACTACTAATAACAATTATAAAAAGCATCAAAAAGTTAATAAAAAAAATAAAAACTATTTAAAAATAATAATTCAAACTGATAAAAAGTTACTACTTAAATTCTGGCTTGCGCACTTTCCGATGTAATGTCAATGTCAGATATATTGGCTGCTCTTCTCTTGCTCCTGGTTCCTCTGAGACACAGCACGGCTGATCGTAGGATGGCAAAGGATACTTTCGCCCTTATCCAAGATATGGTTGTAGCGTAGTCATCTCCTTTCATCTCCTTTCTTTAACGCAAGTAGCTCTGCGAGGCGGCTATGGAATCTCTTGCATTCATCGGCCATTCCACCTGTGCTTGTAAAGACTAATGGTGTGAATGTCCCTTGCTCCACTTCCACTTTATTATTATTAGTCTTGCTTGCGTAAGCAGCGAGACTCATAATCTGCAACGTGTTTTTCTTCTCGCGGGGTAGTCCCTCATGTGGACTATATAGGTATGTGCCATGCCAAAGGATCTGCGATACAGTCATGTGATACTGATCAGCGGATACCTTTTTTGACAGCTGTCAATTGATCATAACATGGATTTGGCGCATTTAAATATATTGATATTATTATTATTATTATTATTATTAGTCTCGCTTGCGTAAGCAGCGAAACTCATAATCTGCAACGCGTTTTTCGTCCCGGGGAGTAGTCCCTTATATAGGCTATATAGGTATGTGCCGTGCCAGAGGGTACGTTTTTTGTAGCCGTTTTGGTCTGAAATAGGGTATGGTTTGTGCACCCTAGTCTTGAATTGGGTAGGTGTTTTAGAAGAATTAGCTACTTCTTCATCAATGAAGGTCTGAAATAGGGTATCAAAGTTTTGATCAAGTCTGAAACAGAGTAGGGAAAATCATAGATTTTGGTCTGAAATAGGGTAAGGGTTTCAGGAAGCGTGCGGCACACCCCCTCCCAATTTTCCTGGAAGTACCCCCAGGAATTTTTAGGACACAAAAGGCAGGTCATTGTGCCAGGCGTTCCTTGCGGAGACCGTGGAAACTGGGACTAAGAATTGTTGCGTGACCGAAGCCACGGATGTTTTGATGGATGTTGATGGATGATGCCACGGATGTTTAAGTTCAGAACTTTTCCGAAACGTGTCGGTCCACGAATTCAATCGCTTGAAAGCGTTGATTACTTTGGAGCAAGTGAACACTACTGTTTGGTCGAAAAAAAAAAAGAGAAGAATCTTAATTAGCAAAATTGCGATGGTCGGGTGTTGTAAACTTTCACTGTATGCAAATGAGTCTTTTGATGAGCATGCGAGTTATTTTCGGCGATTGAAATGACGTGCCATGTAAATCACTTTTTCGATATCTGGCAATGATGTAATTTCTCTGGAATCGAGGTCCTTGAATTTTCGTGTATTTATACACGCGTATAGGCTGCTACCGCAGAGGTATTTTTGGTCGTCGCTAACACGCGTACTAAATCAGTTCAGAAACAAATAAAAAGTATCGACGTCGATAAAGTAGGAAGTAAAAATCCTTTAGCGAGTAAATCAAGTTTCGCCTCCTCATTTCTTGATCTAATATCCAAGCAGGCGAGACCTGAATGCCGCTGAAAGCGTGTTCTTGTTTTATTATGATTATGTCCATTACCTAGTTAAACACAGATAGTATATACCTTGGACTCCAGTTAGTAAGTGTGCCATTTCACATCCGCTTAGGTACGGACGATTGTGTCCCAACCAAAATTTCTTGGATGCCTGGATAACCAAATTGTCTTACCCTTGGGGCTCCGCTGCGCGCACTTCGCGCAAGCGACCGCTCCGCTATTATGCCGTTTAATTCAGGTTCATTCGTTGAAGTGTGAACATTAACGTGTTGGGCTCACTTTAGCTAAAAAGGTAAAATACACAGGGAAGGAAACATGAAATCGTGACTTTCTATAGAAGTCATATGTTCGATTGAAACTGGTCTTTAATTTCCATCACATTCATTGAGCTGAAAAGTTCTTCATACTTGCGAGTGGTCAAGACCTTATGTTGATAATACAATACAGAATCAGTTACACCTGCCTTCCAAAGTTAAGTGCTCCGAGTAAAGTACACGCTTGAACAAAAAATCATCGCGAAAAGGATGCAGAGCTAGGGAATTCCTTTTCTCTAAGAGACTGGAGTAAATGACAGTTCATTCATACTGCGTTAGTCGTCTTTATTAAGCCATAAATTTATTTTATTGGTACAGTTTTATCCCAATATTTATTTTTCTTCTTCTTTATCGTTCTTCTATTCCGGCTGACTCTGGGGAATACGTTCTACATGAGTCCTAGCCTTTAGGACAGTAACTTGTTGTGTCATTTCGTTGCTACCTTGAGCTCCGAATACTGTTGGACTTGTGGAAACGTTGCGGTATGGCAGATGGTTTGCCGGTATGTCAGAGGCTTTTAGAGTCGAATTCACTGATAAAAAATAGTATGTACATTAATGAATGTTTAGAAAGACTGAGATTCTATTAAAAACAAATTTTAAATTGTCGACGACCGTAACTGTGGTAGTGGAGTATTTAAAAGTGATTGATATGGGGCCACGCCCAACAATAAATTCTCTTGTAAAAAGAAAAAAAAATATATTACTTTTTGGAGGAATTGCCGTGAAGTACCTTGATCCCTCCGATATTCATATCTTTCATATAATTTTCTTTTCTGTACGACCCTACCGACTAACCCATTCCTTCATTTTTTTTTTCTTTTGTTTCTCGTCTTCGACCCTACTGATTGATGACCAACCAACTCTGTCGCTCGATGGTGAACTAAACACACGGAAGTGGTCTTTTTTTTTTTCTGAAACAGGGTATTTAAACAGGGAAATATTACCACGTTTACGAACACGACATCACGATATATTGTGTATGATTTCCTATCTGTGCCTTTTGAATTATTCGACATAGGCTAAAAGAGTACAATTTTAAATGCTTCAAGGGGGGCTATGCCACGTGGATATTATTGTTTAAACCTCCATTCTCTGCTGAAGGCCATACTTAGAGCCCTTACCAATGTTCTATAGAGACGTGAAGAATACATCAAACAAATTTCATCGGGGAGTATTAACCATAATATTTTTCGGGGGTGATTTTTGCAGGCCAAGCATTAAAACTTGAAAAGCTGGACCGACTTTCTCAAGTTTCAATCCATTTGCATCTTTGCCATTCGTTGCAGAAAAATGATAGGGAACATTTTCACTACCTAACTGTAGTCTTGAATAAAAAACTGGACCATCATTTTGTAATTCATTTGATGCGAGAACGCGTTTTACATTTTTAAACCGAAAAGATGAAAAATAGCTTGACATAACCCCTTTAAATGCAATCACGGTCAACAGTTGCACGCTGAAATACCTCTGCATGCGTCATCTCTGATGCTGGTGTATAGATCCTTAAGGTTGTTAAAGTCTGCTGTTAATGCGTACTTTCTGTCAGGTTTACTGGCAATATCTATCAACTGGGCAATGTCATATTTCCGCCCAACGCCTATTGCAAAAACTGTGATGTTTGCGGCCTTAAGCTGGTCAGCTGGACCTTTAACGGCGTCTTTTGACTTGCCTGAAAAACATGAAAACAAAAACAGGAATTAAACAACCAGATAGGGAATATTTTGGACATGGGAGCTGTGTTAAGACCAAACATATTCAGGATGGACGCGTATTGAAAAAGGACTTAATTGTTGCATTGGTAGTTGCTAATTTAAACTAATTGAATTTGATTTAATTTGACTTGCAAAATTAGGGGTGGTGCAGAAAAGGTGTATTATTTTAATAGGTAATGGCAAAGTGGCCTAGGGTCTTCCCTTTTTCCGATATGGCGTTAGGGACGCAAGGTTGGTTTTTGAACACCAATATGGCGGACTTGACGTCATGTACAAAACGCTCTATAGCTCAGTCAAGAGCCCATCAAATGGATCCATTTGATGGGCTCCTGTAAATGTGCACTATTAAATGAGCATTTTTACCATCTGTTAGCACAATAAGCACTTTTGGGACGCCCTTGCGACTTGACTTGTCAAACAGCTCGGTCTTGGTGTATTTTAAAGCTTTTCCAGTTTTTGTGCTTCCCCTTAAATACTTTGCCTCTGCTGTTGCATTCATCATTGCCTCTGGCTCATAGAACTTTTTGAAGTCATAGACTGTTTCGACCTGGAGAAAAACAATTGGTTTAGAAAAGAATTTATTTGAGCAATAGACCACACTTTCTATGGGTTTACCGGCATGATAACCCACGCGGGATGTTGGGAGAACACGAGAAAAGCTTGTAAATCACAAGCCGAAGGCGAGTGATTTACAAGCTTTTCGAGTGTTCTCCCAGCATCCTAAGTGGGTTATCACACCGGTAAACCCATAGAAAGTGTGATCTATTGCTTTTATAAAATAACTTTGAGTAAAACAGAGTTTACCAGCACAATGAACCACAGGTTTTTAACCAATCAGAACGCGCGCACTATCTTAGTTATTTTTTAAAAGAGGGTAACCGCCTCAAACCCTGAAGAAATTTGTACTGTCAGTAAACAATTCTAGTTGTCTTCATGATTTAGGTGTTTGTGATGCGGTTTACGAAAGACTTTACTGACAATTTTCAACCGACTTCAGCCAAAAGTGTCCGTATATTGTGTGAAGATCAAGGCCAAAGTGCTGGGAAACAGGGTAGCGCTTTATCAAACGATGGTTAAATTGTAAGTCAAGATTGTGTCTTTTATTAGCTTAATGAAGGATCATTTTACGAGTGTCATAAGTGTGGTGAGAAGTTGATTTCTTTGGTCGTCTAGGACCGTGTTCTGCATTCACCGGGTAGTACGACTTAAGACCTTCATGTGTGCGGCAAAGTGTGGCAAAGCTTTTGTTTTGAAAGACAATTTGACATCCTTTGAATTAGAGTTGCATGGGTGTTTGTACATTCATTGAGCAATTGCTTATTTCTTTTCTGTCTAATATTTCTTTGTTGTGGGTTTCTATTTTGTTGTTGTTTGCATATGTTGGGCATTTTTCTTCAAGTACGCACGTGCTCCCTTTTGTCTGAATAATAATAATAATAATTATTATTATTATTATTATTATTATTATTATTATCAACAATTTATAAAGCGCCTTTTCTGTAGGCATCCAAATGGATTGCGCTTTACAAACCACTTAAAATCTAAAAAAGTAAACACCATCTAAAAATAATGATCGCAAAAGTCCACAGTCACTAAAGTAAATAAATGATTCAATTCAAAGCTTTCTTAAAATATATGTCTTTACTCTTTTCTTAAAAATGTCAACAGAAGAGCTTTATTTTATGTAAAAAAGCAGCGAATTCCAAGGTCTTGGTTAGACGTGCTACAGGTCGACCTCTCATAAACCCTTCGAAGTTAGCGAAGCGAGCTTCAATGCATGAGATCGCGCAAAGACCGAGCGAGCGACGAAGTCTTCGCGTATAACCATAGTCTATGGTATAACCAACCAGGAAAAAAAGGACTCTTTAAAAGTCTAAGTCTTGGTGCGCAAACCCAAAAGGATCTATATCCGTAAGTTCTAATATTAAATGACGGCGAATTAAAGCAACAGTTTCGAAGCAGATCGCAAACTACGCAATAGAGAGTTGGGTAGTTTTAACTGAGGAGCCAAGCCTTGCATCGCCTTATATGTAAAAACGAGCACTTTAAATTCAACACGCTGCTCAACAGGCAGCCAATGTTACTGAAAAATCAGTGGCGTAGCGTGATCTGATTTTCTTGACATGGTGACAAGCCTAGCAATGCAGAATTCAAAACATATTGCAGACGCTGTAATTACCTGAGATCAGGCTCAATTTTCGTTTCGCTTTGTAATAACATTCCGGGGGGCAAGGCGAAACGAAAACAGAGCCTGATACAAACCTTCTACGAAACGTCTGCCGCCCACGTTTTGGATTGATTGACATTTGCCGAATCAGCCAACCAAAATTACTTCCGTTGCTTGTTTTTCTAGTATACAAATTTTTCATGCTTGGGAAAAATGCAGACTGGCTGACTTAAAAAGTAACTTTGTATGTTAATTTTTTCAGCTAAAAATAAAACAGTCAGCACAATCACATTTAACTTCTTGCGAGGTTAAAGGAGATCTCGAAGGTTATTTCTGTTGGGGTAGAAGGTAAAAAGTTTTCGAAAAGACGGCGATACGATGTTCTACTACTTTTATTATTTTGGCTAGGCGCGCTCGAATTTAAAATACTGAAATTTCTATTTTTCGGTTGCCTTAATATTTTCCTCCGCAATTTTCCCCGATTTCCAGTACATAAATCTTTAAAAATCTTATAGAAATATAGCGCGAACTTTTTCAAAGGATATATAAATTATTTCAGAACAAACCAAACGAGTTCTCAAGTGTATTAATGCAGCTGATTTAGTCCTGTGCGTACACTTGCAATAATAGAGAGTTTTAGATCGGAGTTTACCGCGAACCTCTAACCGCGGTTTTCGCTTACCCGTTTGCACTTCGACGTTCAAACATAATTCGATTTAGTTTGGCGGTGGATTAAAGAAGTGGATTCTGGTTTATTTTTTCATTTAGAAATAGAAGAAATATCTATCAGTGAAAATAAAAGAAATTTACGGTAACAATGGGTTATCTAGCAGCAAAGAACTGTAAATTCTTACATCTGAGTTCTTCTTGCAAATTTACGGCCGCCATTTTGAATCAGCAGCCATGAATGGCACTTGTTTTTCAGATCCAATAGGATTTATCAAATTTAGCATTTCGCCCAAATTTGTGCCTCTGTTAATGGATAAAGACTTGCTCCACAAGATTTTTGTATCATTACGTGAGATAAAACAAGAATTATGCGCTAAAAGCTTTCAGGTAAATGACCTACGTGAAAACCTACCTTCCCACGTTGAAAACGCACGTCGTAAACCTCAAACGTGACGCGAAAGACTTGTCACTTGACCTCCAGCGGTTAGAGGTTCGCGGTAAACTCGGATCTAAAACTTTCTAATATTTGCGGATACAAACGTCCAAAAAATATATATATATATATTTTTTAAAAATCAAGGTAAATATTATCTGCTACTAACTGGATGCTCAACTGACCTATAAACAAAACGAAAAACAATACTACAAACACACTTTGTAGTTCTCCTTAGTTGTGTTGTTGTTTTACTGCAGGTCTACAAAGCTCGCTAAATTTATTAATCGAAATAAACGCCGAAACAACAAATAGCCAACGAGCGAAAACACCAGTTTTCCTGGTTTATTTCTTACAAAAAGCGAAGGCAAACAACAAGTCTGTTACCTTAAGACTAGCGCCACCAAATTTAAATTTCCTTGAACAGCGATGCGATATTTTTCGTCTAATACTTCACAGTTGGCGATTGAAGTTTTTTTCGCTGTGAGCCTCCGCTTGCGTACCCCGTTCAGAGAGGTCATTCCCGGCCAAACATTCAAATGAAACCAGTTTTAAGATGGACAGTATTTTGATTTGCACTCGTTTGTTGGTAAATCAAAGGGCACCTTGTTAGCGGTCAACAACTTGCAGAGGGATTCAACTCCGCGACACACTCACATTAGTTCCGTAACTAAAGCAAATCCTGAGAAGATATGAACATTAACCATATGAATTTTGTGAATTTCCATGGCACATATTAAGGCATATTTTCCTACCATAAGACCATAAAACAATAAAAAAGACAGCAAAATCGATCCTTCTCTCCGCCGACGGCGGATCATTCACGAAAACAACCGCGCGAGGAATAACGGCTTTCAACTTTCGGCGTTTCCGACAGCCAATCAGATCTTGCGGCATTGTTCTAACCGCCAATCAGCGTTACGGCCAAAATCTGGCCGTAACGAGCACAAACGTGAGAGAGTTTGTATCTGGCCCAATTTTAGCAGTAACCGTTAGAGAGAATGTATGAGAACTGCTAAAATTGGGTCTGATCTCAGGTTAACGCTGTAATAAGTTCTTGGGGAGACCATAAAGCAAAGAGTTGCAATTATCAAACTTTGAGGTAACAAATGCGTGAACAAGGATTTTAGCTATCTGGAGACTTAACGTGCTTGTCAAGTGAAAGCGTCGAGTCGAGAACAACTCTAATATTCTTTACAGAAGCGGAGGAGGTGGCTACTTGAAGCCGATCGAGGAGGGGAGCAGGACGGTACTTAGCATGGAAAATCAGCATCTACGTCCCTTACTATATATTTATTCCTTACTATATCTATTCTATATATTTATTCGCAAAAATACTTTTAAAAAAATATATTGGCAAAAGTTAAGGCGCAATCTAGCACAATCTGTTGGGTTGTCTAACCATTTACACACTTTGATTTATAAAAAAAGGAATGAATTGGCCACAATGTCTATACAAACCCTTGCTGAGTACAACACAAGTCCAACGTGAGTGAATTCCTCGGATATGAATGAACCATTGATCGCATTTTGTATGAAGTCCAGGCACTTTTTGTAGTTTCCTTTTCCAGCTTTCTCGATACTTGCCGAGCTGTCCACCAAAAACCCGATATCTATCTTGGCCTTACATTCTAGAAAAACAAAAATGCAAACCAGTTAATTTTGCATAGTTACTAACTCGCTTCACGCCCTACCAACAGCATGGAAAGAAAACGCCGATAATTTCAACTGCGGAAATATAATTACTTAAATTGCGATGGATACTGCGACGATCATATGGTTGATAGAGCACTGCGTCGCATAAAGGCAGAGGCCAGGGATTCGAATCTCATTGCTTAAATTGCCAATATATAGATGTAGCCAGGGCTAAAAGCGAAGCTCTCGATGATATTTACAGTTTTCTCAAACAAGATAAATAATCGTGTAATGCTAAGCGACGAAGGAAATGAGAACGGTGAAAAAACAACAATAGTTGAGTTCTAATTAGCAAAAAGCAATTTTGCACGTGCAGCACACTTTTTTGTACATTCTTTGCCCTTGTTGAAACGTGAAACTTCCTGGTTACTCGTTTTATGGAGGAAATATCGTACGTGTTCTTGTTCCTTTTTTTCACGGCCGCTCATTTTCACCTTGGTGGCGGCTAGCATTTCTTTGTTTTTCTCCCACTGCTTCTTCATGTTGTGCTTCCAACAAAAAATGTCTCCTTTGTCTTCTATCTCTCGCTCTAGCTGTTTGTCGCTCTTTTTCTCGTTGAGCTTCGCTGGCTAGTCGTTTCTCTGTCTCTCTCTTCCTCTGTATTCCAAATTTGTGGACACGACAATTAATGTAAGCTTAACACTTTAGACAACAAGGATACAGAAACAATTTCCGCTTTCCGTTTTCGTTTTATTGACTCTTAAATTGTCTCTGTTTCGCAAGACGCGGCTGGCTATGCAATTTCCCGCCAAAATAACCTCAAGTTGCCATGCCTGTATCAGATGAATGAGTTATTTTACATTGGTATGTCTGTGGTGCGGACGGACGGTCGAGTGGGCGTACGGTCACGTGACTACCAAAATTTCTCGGATGCATAGGTCACCCAATTTTCTTACCCATGGTGCCCCGCTGCTCACGCTTCGCGCGCGAGATAGCCCCGCCATAACAACTGCGACGATCATATCTTCATTTCAATTTGTATTTATACCGCAGTTCACATCATTATCAAAAAGATACTTGTGCCACTATTTCATTACGCACTACACCGCGCATTCTTGAAGCCTCAGCGTAGTCAGTCGGGACGGAAGAACTAACATAGCGATAACAACAGGCGCGAGGTCCTGCGATACACGTATTTCTAGTATGCTTCTCGCTGTTCTTGCCACTTTTTAAGACCCAGAAATAAAAAAGGGAAAAAAAACTAACAAAAATTACATTATCGGCCCACAACAGAATCCCCTTGCTCGACGGATGTTTCTCGTTGCATATCAGGGCGACAACAATTCATTGAAAGGTTTTAAACCCAAAACAAACAGCAGCCTTCAGCATCGCTGTATCTATGTGAAATAAACTACTAACTGCAAAATCCACAAGTGAGGGCGCAGTGCCTGTGCATTCCATATGGGTACGAGTTGCAAAAGTCATTCAGTCTGTACTCTTTACAGTACGCCTCGTAGTTCTCATCATCCTTACATTCAGGATCTGATAGAAACAAGACAAGATTGGTGAGATCATGCAGGCTTCATGCCTGCACCTAAACTATATTCCTCAAATTTACCTCGAATGTCAAGTCAAGGCATACTATATAACAAAAAAACGCTTGTAGAATTGTCTAAAACATTTTGCCTCCGTTTTTCCCTTAACAAGGGAAGGTCCCTATATATATAGTATAGTACGAACAGCAACAGCACAGAACTGGAACAAGTCGTTCAGACCCATCGAACGGTTGGCCGAGAAGGTTAAATTCTCTTCCGTGTCATTGGGTTCCAGTCCTCCTTCCTACTTATTCACTTCCGCTACCGTCCGAAAACCTGTTCACACTACACTTAAGCGCGACACATCAAAAGCTGTCGGATATGTGACTTTCTGCTCTCGAAATCGGCACAGCGCGGCCGTTCTTTATGTTTGGACAGAAGTCCTATCCGTTATGATTAAGCTATGCGGTTTCGTAAGAACAAAGCCTAAGAATCTAATATTCCTTGGACAATGACTAATTCATAATTATCAATGGCTTACTTGTTATATTTTGCTGGACGTTTCCAACTGCACCTAACAAGAAGAAACATTCATTCACAATCAAATCAGTTCCGTCCGAGAGCCTGCGTTACCCTTTTCCAGCGGAATGGGTGACGGAAGCTCTGGGGAATCCCCAAACGGGAACCACAGTTTCCTGACCAATTAAAATTGGGCTTGCCTGAAGTTGTTAATTCATAGCCTGCGTGGCAGGCGTTTGAAAGGGAAGGGAAAGGGAGTTTTAGGTGCGAGAGAAACGCGAGCCCCTCGCGTTTCCCTCGCGCCCAAAACCCCCTTTCCCTTTCCTTTCAAACGCCTGCCACGCAGGCTAGTTAATTCACTGCCCATCAGTCTTAGCTTGCGAACTGCAGACGTATTTCCGGTTCTCGGCGGGTGTAACTAGTAACTGGAGCCGAAAAAACCGGATGCTCTCGCAGGCTAATGCAGTCAATTAATGCAGTCAATGTAATGCATATTCTCATGCAGCAAAATTCTGGTTAAAAGCCTGGTAAACTGGCCCGGTGTGCAAAAATGAACAAATTTGGTGTAAACTATTAAAGCAATTTCTGACATTATTCAAAGATTTAAGGCAATAATGAGAAAATGCTACATTAGCAGAAGGCAGTGTGTAAGGGCCTGGCTAAGATTTTGTCATAAATCAACAGAAATTGACATATTGATAACTCCTATGCGGAGAAAGTAAAAGATAACGCCAATAAACAATAATTAAAATATGAAAAGGTGAAGCATGACTGATTTCTGACAATTGTATCTGATTATAAATTCGACATACATACTGATATATGTCGTTGTAGGAAGCTTTCTAAGTTCTGGAACATTTTGATAAATAACATTTGCTAATGAAAACTTTATCTAAAAGATTAAAGATTAAAAGTGTGCCTTCTTGAACCATGCACGAAATCAGATCATATGCATCATTTCTTAGTTGGTTATTGACCAAGGACAACCCCCATCTGCACCACCATGTATTTTCAGGTCATTCTTTGTGCGTTTTATGACTCTTTAGGAATGTTCTGACTAAGTTAAGAATTTCTCCTTTCATGTGTGAAGGAATGAGGTTTTTGAGTGGGTCATCTTGTCTCTGAACTTGACGTCCTTTCGAAGATGCTTATCCTTTTGTTCGGCTTAAAAGTGAACATTTCGACATTTTTAGTAATTAATTAGCTAGTCAGGGTTTTGCGGCTCAATTTCGTTGGTAAACCTTTCCCTCTATTTGTCTTGTTCTATCATTTATTAATAAGGGAGTTGTCCTTTGTTTGTCATTAACGAGGTTTGCACTTTTGGTTTTTTAGCTTCAAAGAACCAAGTCACTTAAGAGCAAACGTCTGGAAAAATCGAGCAAATTCGAAATTTCGCGGCCACGGTCAAAAATTATTTTCGCTCATATCTTGTCCATAAATAGGTCTTACTAAATAACTAAACGTGGTGTAATTTGATTTTTAAAAGGCCGCTTGCATTTGGAGAAAATCGACAAAATCAATTTTCGTCGTCAACGACTTGAAAAAAACCAAAATTTGAGGCAAAATGAGGCTGTCTCAAAACTTCGCTAGCACGCACACGGGAAGAAAGCGGGGTAAAATATTCCCCACTGAATCAATTTATAAAGGGTTCTACTTCTGGTTTGGCTATGAATTCTTATCTTAATAACGATAATCTGGAAGATAAACAATGTTATTTTACAGGAAAATTCATTACCTGACGAGGAAATTCCACGTTAAATTGCACGCGAAAACCGATATCGATTCGTGCGATATCAGTTTTCAAGTGCAATATAACGTGGAATTCACGAGTCAGGTAATGGATTTTCCTTGAATCGCATATAAATTGAATAAAAATCAAAAAAAAAAAAAGAAAACAGCAATAATATTGTTTGTTTTTATCCTGAGCGCGCGCTCCAGAAAGCCATTTCATTAAAGTCAACTGTTAGAACTGTCAGTGCGTTAGCGAATAGGAAGCAAGGTCAGTCGTACACGTTTGAACCTTCGACAGCTTTTTTGGTATCTTGTGCTTGTTTTTACATCTGTTTTCAAACTGTTTTGCATGTAAACAAGCCTCACACTAATCGTAAAGATAAATAGAGGCATTTCACTGAATTTACAAGCCGTTTATCTATAACATCTTTTCAGTTTCAAATTGGTCATAGAAATAAAGTGTCCAAGTGAAAGCACTGAAAGTTTAACGTCGCGATTGATATAAGGTAAGTACCTTGAAATGTTAACGTTTTAGAAATGCTGTTCAAGTTCAGCTCTGTTTTGTACTTTTCTCAGTACCACGATTCAGGACGATTGCAAGCGCCGTACTCTTTTTCGTGTTTTCAGAGGCCATGTTGTCTTTGAAAGTATTTATTTCTTCTTCTGTATATGTGACAATCGACCCTGGCATTTCCTCCGTTGTCGCTTCTCCGTTTTGTTTGGTTGAACTTTGGCTTGCCATTTTCTGGGCCGTGTTCACAGGATTTTCTTGTTTTCTCGTTGTCGCGAGCGAAAGAGGTTTTTTATGCCTCTCCGAGAATTTGTAGTTCGGTTCAAAACAAGGAAGAACCTCCGGCTCACTTTAAAAAACGCTTTTGTTTGCTTTTAACTCTTCAAAAGGTGACAATGGTTTTAAAAAACATTTGCAAATAACATTGTAGAAAACCTTTTTTGCAGTTGTTGTGTTAGAATTTAACGATAGTTGTTACGTAGATGCGAAACAATATCCGTTAGCCTCGTTTTCAACTCGCAATTCCACACTAAATACCTCGTTTCGTTAACCAATCAGAATGCGAGATTTTACTCAATTATGCGATTCTAGTTTGGATTGTTTTCAACTAAACGAAATTTAAATTTAGGCTGAAATTTGCGTTTTATATTTTAGGCATGTGCCACACCTTGGTGCTGAAACTTAAGTCATAAGTTATTTAAGCATTGTGCTAAAACATATGTAAGAATTGGCCTGGGTAATTAAATTTGTACTTCTCACGAACCCTCTGAAGTTGAATAAATTTTGCTTGAAATGAGACTTTTCCAGAACGTCGGTTGGTTGTTACTCGACAAGCCACGATGGCTGGGCTCTCCAAAAGAAAATTAACTCACAATCGCACTTGTATTAAAGACATTTGTACTGGAACAATAATTTTTGTTACCTCAATGCGTTTTCCCGTTCTCGTTCAGATTGGTATAGCGCTGTGTCCCAAGCTAATCAACCGATGATCCAAAAACTCGAGGAAACGTGGTGCGTGAAAATAACCTCATACAGAGCATTTCTTGGTATTGCTGGCCTTTCTCTTCCGCGATCAAACTTTTACATCCATTGCCATTTTAAAATTCGAGGTCTCAAAAACTGCGATTTTGACAGTGAAACTTTCGGGCTACCGATATGCCTTTGGTCATAAAAGTCTGGTCAAAAGTGTTGTGTGACAGGATTCAGAGGCTTCCCAATCTAAACGTCTGAGCGATGCGTTTCTTTAATGGTCCTGCCAAAAGTAGCATATTATGCTACTAGCATTTTTTTCTTTTTCTTAAAGTTACTAAATAAGTCCAAAAATATCGTTTTTCACGTCAACTTCCCCCCTTACCTTGTATTTGAATTGATTGACTTCAGACTTCAATCTCTAGCTATTTCACCGCGTTATTACCTATCAGGCGGCTGTCTTTCCTCTCTCATATGCATCTTCCATTGTTTTGGATAACAGTTTTCGTAAACATTCCGCAATTATCTTTCAGTATATTTTTTGTTTCTGTTTATGCTTTCTCAATTCGAAGGATGGTGTTCGCTGTGACGCAACACCACTCCTTGTCTTCTCAGCCCGTTTTGCACATTGTGACTCGCTGTATGTCGTAACTGATTCTATTAAATGGTAAGAGCATCTTTAAAATCGCCGAAAATGTGATTTTGTTCAAACACCTTAAGAATTGAGATCATAACTCTCATGCAGTTTGAGAGACATTTATAGGAAACTTAAAAAGATACCGCGACGACGACTTTGTCGACGACGACCGGAAGTGAGTTACAGTGTACTGCGCAAGCGCGACCAGTAAATTTCGTCCTCGTGGTGTCGTCGACGACGCCAAACAAAGTAGAATCACATCGTCCTGCAATCCACAAGCTTCGGCAAGTATAAATCCACTGTTTTAAGCGGTTTTTGAAGTCCTCATGAGGACCCGCATACGACTCTTTTTTTGCACACCACAGGACGCTAGAAAAGTCTCTGGCACCCAGGGTACCTAACAAGCGATGTTGATTGAAAATTCGACTGATGAATTGTTTTTACTTCGAAGAATGACAACAGCTGTGGAGGCCTAGCGAGCGAACTCGTAAGTGATAAACTTATTTGTACGTATTTAGGTAAGGCAAATCATGTATCTTTAATATAGAGGAAATAAACTTTATTTGGAAAATAGCTATCACATCAGAATGTCTCTTTTTCCAAATCTAAACACTGACAGATACTCGGACTCGGTCATCTCATTCAGGTTGAAAGTTGAATAATCTTCGTACGGAAAGCAGGTGTTTTTCCACTCGAAAATGTCAGACAACACAAAAAATTCTTCATCGTTAATAGGGAACTTAAGCCTGGTTTCCATATGATCGTCCGGATCGTCCTGATCGCCCCAGTCGTTTCAAAATATTTCGAGACGATCCGGACGACTGGGGCGATTGATAGTTTCCATATGATCGTCTCGATCGCCTCAAAGGCAAGAGACGCGGTGTCGTCAGCGATGTTTCTGGGTCAGACAATAGAATTTTTGCGCGTATATTGCAAACAAGCCACATAAATGGATGATCTTTATTCGTAAAGCGAACCTCGTACCTTGGTATCTGCTTTTTCTCTTGATTTGCAGCACTGAGAAGCTTGAAGAGTTCCCCGAAGACATAGTATCTCTTCGAAAACTTGATGTCACGGACTTTCTATAATTTCAAATAACCCCCATACGCGCTGCAAACATTTGTGTATTATTTTTTCGGCTTCAGCGCTATCCGGGCCGAATTTATTCTCGATTACTGGAATAAAAGTGATGACTTCTGGGATAACCTTCGATCATCCCAATCGTCTCAGTCGTCTGAGAGCGTTTCCATATGATCGCTTCAAAATTTACACGATCGTCCTAATCGTCCGGATAGAACTCAACTCTATCCAAGCGATCAAGGTCGTCTCAGTCGTCCGGGTCGTTTGCGATCGTCTGAGTCGCGTTTCGTCCCGATCGTCTGAACATTTTTTGACACGACTGGGACGATCGGGATGATCCGGACGATCATATGGAAACCAGGCTATAACAACCACGACGACGACTTTGTCGACGACGACCGGAAGTGAGTTACGGAATACTGCGCAAGCGCGACCAGTAAATTTCGTCGTCGTGGTCTCGTCGACGTCGCCAAACAAAGTAGAATCACATCGTCCTGCAATCCACAAGCCTTGGCAGGTATAAATCCACTGTTTTAAGCGATTTTTGAAGT